ATTAGTCTTCTTCGGATTCTTAGTTTATTCACTATCGTTTTTGGAACGCAAAGACCAACGCCTATCTGCACGGACACGACCAACAAAGAAAGACGTAAGTGAAAACTCAACCATTGATATGGTTAACGACTATTATCCCTTCGTAGACTTCAAACTCACAGCTCCGAGAATTTCGCCTACAGTTGGAGCAATGAAAAATGTTTTCATGATTGTGTTAGTGATGTCCGGCGCAAAGGGAAACACGTTCAGAGAACGTCGCGAGGCCATCCGACAAACCTGGGGAAACCAAAGTGACTGCGAACAACGGGAAGCGTTGCAAGATGAAAGATTGAAACACTTAAGATGGCTACTCGTATTTGTTGTTGGAAAAGCAGGAACCGGAACGAACGACGATGAATTGAATATCGCTGAAGCTCGACAACACAACGATATGTTGATTGGAAATATCACAGACAACTACATCAATCTTATTCTTAAAGTATACATGGGTCTGCTTTGGGCGAGCAAATTTGATGTAAAATATACATTGAAAGCAGACGACGATGTTTACGTGCGCATACCGCGCCTGTTGGAGTATTTTGTGAACGCGAAATTTCCAAGACCATTTTACGGAGGCCTGATCTACCATCGTAGCAAAGTGCATCGCAAAATTGGAGTAAAATGGACAATAAGTTATAAATATTATGGTGAAACAAACTTTCCACGCTTCAGTCGTGGCCCATTCTACATTTTATCCAGCGACCTTTTCGAGAAATTGTTCAACTATGTTTACGTTAGAAAACCCTTCCACCTTGAGGATGTATATGTCGCTTTAGCGATGCATGATTTTAACATCAAGGCAACTAACATTAATTCGTTCCACTTGTCACCGACAATGCGTAGATACGTACTGCAAAGAAATATACAAATATGTAAAATGCTGAGTTGGATTGGATTCGGTCATTTCATGGATCCAAAGGCGATTAAAAAACTTCATCTGCTTTTACAGTCGCATGTGTGTAAGAAAGTTACATTGGATATTGACTATCATCGTTGCAACAAGACTGGATGAGGTCTTTATTGTTAGGAAATTACCACTGGATGAGGTCTTTTAACTTTTACATTAACTTTTACAGGATTATCCTTGGGCTTGGCACGTTCGACTGGAAAAAAAGTGGCATTTTATCCGTAGGTTGTTTTTTTAAATACCAAGGCCGGTTGTATTAAGCCCGTTTAGCTTAAACGGTGGTTAAGTTCAAAATAGAAAGCGTTTTATTCGTTTTATTCAAGAAGCAAACTAAATGTTTTTAACCTTAATACAAAGATTCTGTTTACAACTACATATTTAGTGCACAATATTCAAGTTTACTCATTCAAGAGGGGTGTAAGAGTGTTATTTAATTTTGACTTATCCGCCATTTAAGCTAAACGGGCTTGATACAACCGGCCCAGGGTCAGGGTTCGGTTGTATCAAGCTCGTTTAGCTTAAACGGTGGATAAATCCAAAATAGAAAGCAAGCTAGTCTATCATTTCATTCAACAAGTGAACTAAATGTTTTTGACCATAATACAAAGATACTGTTTACAACTACATATTCAGTGCATAATATTCAAATTGACTCATTTAAGAGAGATGTAAGAGTGTTATTTAAGTTTGACTTATCCACCGTTTAAGCTAAACGGGCTTGATGCAACCGGCCCCAGAAATGCTCGTGTGTAAATCAGTGAAAAGCGTAAAGTAAAGTAAAGTGTCGGACCTTTGAAATTCATTTATCACTATACCGTCTATACGAGCAGATAAAACTGTTACGTGATGCGTGTCAAATTAAACTGCTTTCCGAAACGGTAACTTGTCAAGGAAAATCTTTTTTTAGCATAGTGCTACACATGACGCCGACTGTGAACTCACCGACAAAGGAAATTTTCCTGTCCGTTTCGATTCAAAGGATATTTTTCCTGAGTGGAAACTAGCCTTAAGTTGAAAGGGAATCTTTTCTCGATGAGAAACTCTTCTTAAATTTGAATTTAGACGGATAAATCAGAGGAGATTCTGAAATATCAACACGGACAAGTGTAACAGTGCCCCAATTGTGATGAGATAATGTATCAGTGCAATATTGTGATTAGATAATTGAGAGCCTTGAACTCATGTATGTAGGGAGCAAAAGAATGAAATAAAATACACTTAGAAACTGGATTCAACGTGTGTGTGTCTCAGACAGCTCGGCCCATTACACAAGAAAGAAACAAGGGTAGCAGAAAATAATCAAAATGATTATCGTAATGATTACGACCCCTTTTTTAGCATTGCCCGATCCATCATAAGTGTAAATTTATCCACCCCATTCATATATTCAGACGGATTATTGCTATCAACTTTCCCGTCTAAGATAAGTTTGCGGTGACAATTTACTAGAAATTTTTTATTTAACTAAGCAATACTGATGCCTAATAACCGCAAACTCTGAAACTTTTCGAAACTTTTTAGAAACTGAAATACAAATTTGTAAGTTGTGTGATTTGGATGTTCGTGATGTGTGCACTTTGTTATTTCCTAACTATGTGCACTATTGCATAAAATCAACAAAATTCAAATGTTCTTTATTCACTTCATTTCTTAAATAAATCAACCTGTTTTACCTTACAGTAAATGCCACTGTACACTGTACGGTTATTAAACAGACTTAAAAAGGACACTGTACGGTTATTAAACAGACTTAAAAAGGACACTGTACGGTTATTAAACAGACTTAAAAAGGACACTGTACGGTTATTAAACAGACTTAAACGCTCCATCGTGATTATCGCTACTCTGGTTTAAATAAATGAAAGTAATCACCACACAAATTAAGATTAACTTTCACGACCCGGCCAACGTTTCGACACTCCGGTCTAGTGTCTTCATCATCCCGGATTATATACCTGGTTGCCGTGAACTCATTAACTTCCAATACTTCAACGTTATTGGAAAACGATAAAAAGCCAAATTTCGCGTATAAAGAAACCCCGCGCAGTCGCAGTGAACGAATAATGCATGCAATGTCATATATATACTCATATAAGACCTCCGCTGTTGGAGTCGCATCCATTGCGTCACCACTATCGGTTGTCGCTCTCTTATCCTGTTTCGAGGAAAGAGGCTCGTCTTCCAAATTTCACTATGGCGCCGTAGTTTTTGGCTTCTCGCATGTCTTGGATAACCACTCAGTTTTAATGGTCAAATGCTTGTCCTTTGTAAAGTCAGTGGCGTAGCCAGCTGGACAATTTAGTCATGCTATGCTAATATTTGGTGTCCATTGACTGTGAAAACAATGAATTTCTAAAGAAATGAATAATGATAATAATATAAAATTTGCATAGCATGACTAAATCGTCAGGCTGGCTACGCCACTGTGTAAAGTTGCAAGCATGTTTCGTGCTCATATACAAACATTAAGCAATATAACCATACTTTGGTTACGAAGTCAAATATTTTGACATGGATAAACCACGCTGTTTTAACTTTTGATTGTCAAATGCTTGTCAAATGCTTGTCGAATGCTTGTCAAATACTTGTCAAATGCTTGTCAAATGCTTGTCGTTTTTATGTTCTGAAATTAGCTGCGAATGTTGAAACATTCTAATGAATCCACCAAATGAAATACCATTTTCCTGAAATTGTAATTTGTGATCTGTGAAATCAGACTTGACTTCATTGCCGACCATAAGCAAATCGCACCGTGACCATTAGCTTCGTCTGGGCCACATATAACTAGCTTATGGCGAGGTAATACGCATTGCTCAAAGCATTCCATACCTGTGATATTTTAGCGACAACGGAAATGGTTGATATTAGGTTAAAGCTACGAATATAAGGTACAGTTATGTGCTTTTTAGACTAGAACAAAAATCATCATCATAGATTAACCTTAGTAAACATTTTGAAATACATTTTGAATAAACGACTTAGTAATTGTTGGCATAATAATGGAACACTATTGATAATTTGATATTGGAGACTGAAAGGAAACAACTTTAATGCCTTTACAAAATACTGCCTTTTCTTGATTCCTTTCGTGGGAATTTTATGGAAATTTAAACATGTTGTTTCTGGAATTTTTGTTGTTTGTGGAAATTCCAGCCTTGCTTGATGGAAATTTCAAATTTGAAAGTGGAAGCACTAAATCAAATTCTTTGTAACATCAGACTTCCGTGTTGACGTCATCATGAGAAAGCATACGCAGTACGCGAAAAACCTGGGAACGAGGATGGATGGATGGATCAGATTTAGAACTACAAGCGACAAGTGTATACTAGATGTTACTATTGCTGGAAAACTGCTGCCAGGCGTGCGGTGTTGAAATAGGCTAACCATAAATCTATTAAACTAAGCGCTCTCTTAATAAACTTAAATTTCGTAACCATCACGAATACGGCGAGATTTTGTGAATAGGAAAATCGGGCTCGTTTAAGTCTGGAAATAAATAAAAAGCTTTGCAATAGAAACACAACATATTTCTAGGAGCAACAACAATTCAATATTTCTTGATTGTTTTTTATCTTTATACATTTATATGAATATTTTACAAAAATAGACGAAATTTGCCTAGAATACCCTAAATGTCGCGATGTAGTCAAGCTTTTTTGCATACAAACTCAGATTTCAAGAAAGGGACATAATTTGGTATATCAATTTCTATTGTATCCGATCCTTTCGTTTTTCTCCTAGGGAAAGTTCGCGAATGTATTTTGTATAAAGTTACGCCTGTATTCAAAAAGCTCACTCGCACTCATTGAATGTGACATACAAATTTTGTTAATGCTGATCAATGAGAAAGTTTTCTCTGAATAGATGGAAAGACATAAGGTAAATCACTGAAAATCAAGCCCCTATTCGGCTGGAAATACTGACATTGAAACGTTATGAGAAGATAAAGATCTTCCACTCAATGAGTTTGAGTGAGCTCTTAGAATACCGGCGATAGTGTACGGCTCCACAGGGCATTCACGCGTGTACAGGAAGTGTTTTTTTTTTAAAAATATTTCTCACCCACGCCATACCAAATATTTATCATAGGTCACCGACAGTTAGCTTAAAAAGTTTAAACAGTTATAACGAAAAAGATATTCAAACAGAACACTATCGATGATTAATTTAATTTTATTATTATTGCAATGTCAATCTTTAGTTGCACCGTATTATTTTTCAAAGTCATGAGCAATAGGTTTAGTCAGTTATGCTTCCTCTTCCTCCTCTTCTTCCTCAAATTCTCCTTCTTCCTCAGCTGTGGCTTCTTGGTATTGTTGATATTCAGAAACCAAGTCGTTCATGTTGGATTCAGCCTGTTTGAAGAAAAACCAGCTTAATATTTAGGTTTGTCAAACGCGCACAAATTTTCAAAGCCGGCGTTTGCGTGATTATAAACCTGCTTTGTACCCGTGTCCAATAAAAATGTTTTTGTGTTTTGCAAAAAAACATTTACAGAAACTATCATGCTGAGTTTGCAATTCCTATTTGCTATAAGTATTAACATATCAAGAAAGCCTGAGGCTCTTGACAGTAAAAAAACAAACCTCAGTGAATTCCATTTCATCCATGCCCTCTCCTGTGTACCAATGCAAGAAAGCTTTTCGACGGAACATAGCTGTAAATTGCTCACTGATTCGTTTGAACAATTCTTGGATGGCTGTGCTGTTTCCTATAAAGGTACCAGACATCTTCAAACCTCTTGGTGGGATATCACAGACAGCAGTCTTCACGTTGTTTGGAATCCATTCCACGAAATAGGAGCTGTTCTTGTTTTGGACGTTCAGCATTTGCTCATCAACTTCCTTCATGGACATACGGCCACGGAACATAGCAGCAACTGTGAGGTATCGACCATGACGAGGATCGCAAGCTGCCATCATGTTTTTGGCATCAAACATTTGTTGGGTGAGTTCTGGAACAGTGAGTGCACGGTATTGAGATGAACCACGGCTGGTGAGAGGAGCAAAACCAGGCATGAAGAAATGAAGACGTGGGAATGGAACCATGTTGACAGCCAGTTTTCGCAAATCTGCATTCAACTGCAAGAAGAATGGATTGTTCAAACTAAATAAATTGTCCTGGTTACTAACTAGTGCTTTAAACTCTGCATTGGTAACTATTACTTTGCAAAGCAAGTACAGTTAAACATGAATTTAGCCTTACCTGTCCAGGGAATCGTAAGCATGTTGTAACACCACTCATGGTAGCAGAAACAAGATGGTTTAAGTCACCATATGTTGGTGTGGTAAGTTTCAGGGTTCGGAAACAGAGATCATAGAGAGCTTCATTGTCGATACAGAATGTCTCATCTGTGTTCTCAACAAGTTGATGTACAGACAGGGTGGCGTTGTATGGTTCAACTACTGTGTCAGAAACTTTAGGTGATGGTACCACACTGAATGTGGTCATTATTCTGTCGGGATATTCTTCACGGATTTTTGAAATTAAAAGAGTGCCCATTCCGGAGCCAGTTCCACCTCCAAGAGAATGTGTAAGTTGGAAACCTTGCAGGCAATCACATCCTTCAGATTCTTTTCTAACCACATCAAGAACAGAATCCACAAGCTCTGCTCCTTCTGTGTAATGTCCTTTAGCCCAGTTATTTCCAGCCCCACTTTGGCCTAAGACCATCCAATATATATATATTTTAAAATACATTTTATTTTATATATTATGTACATTTTTTATTTGGTAAAATTAGGCTAGTGTAATATGGTGTTTCACTAAACGAAAAGTGCAAACCACTCAGTTCTATTCCACAGCATTGGCAAGGGGGGGGGGGCTTTTCAGCACCCCCCCCTGTGGGACTTCCTATATTTTCCCCACTCAACACAGTAATCTGCCCCCCTACCTCATATGTCCCTGCTAACAAATGCCACTTTCTGGCATTAAGAAAACTTGCTGTTTGGTGTTAGATAGATACTCAAAATAATTTCTGAATCAGACAGATTCAATATCGGATTCAATATATCACTGGATCGATAAAGGAAGGCGGCCGGAAAGTAAACAGATTTATATTGGATACCAAAAATATATTTGCAAGAGAAGTGTTTAGTCAAACACTTAAACCCGGGCAATTGCGATCTCATTTGAGAGACACTCGTATTCAAGGACAAGATGCTTAAATGTTTGCATTTTAACTTAATAGTTTAATCCCATGGAACGAATGAATTGCTTTCGAAATCTAATCATGGAGTTGACTGTTGAGGCTGTTGACAACTTGACATGGTGCAAACATAAATTAGTATCCACCGGTTTCGCGCGCGCGAATTCTTATGTACTTAAAAGTTAAAAACCTTACCGAATACAAAATTATCCGGCTTGAAAATCTGTCCGAACGGTCCTGAACGTACAGAATCCATCGTTCCCGGCTCCAAATCGACCAAAACTGCTCTGGGAACATATTTCCCGCCTGAAAGAAAAGGACAAAAGATAACGGCTCAGCGTTGCACTGTAGCAAATTAATTGCCCCTCGGCAAATTGCATTTTGAGAAGAAAGTTTGTACTTTTAAACATTATACAATAGCTGTATTGAAGATCAAAATTTCTCACCTGTCGCCTCGTTGTAATAAACGTTTATTCTTTCAAGTTGAAGGTCGGAATCGCCATGATACGTGCCGGTCGGATCAACGCCATGCTCGTCCGAGATGACTTCCCAGAACTACGATAAAGATGGAACGAAAATTTATTACATTTCACGTTAATGTTAATAATCAATCGTTCTAATTGCAATCAGAAGAGAAGCCTACCTTCGCTCCGATTTGATTTCCACACTGGCCTGCTTGAAGATGAACGATTTCTCTCATTTCGATAACAAATTAACTGAAGTAAAAAGATAACTGAACACTGCACCTCTCAACAATTGTAACGGTTTGTTGGCTTGGCGATTGCAAGTTGTGTATTTTCATCCGTTTGAATGTTAATAATTGACTACGAATTAAATATTAATCGGAGAACGGGCCAATGGCGGGCTAGCGCCAAGCCGCGCGCGCGGTATAAGTCGTCGACACAATATGACTAGGCAAAACTAGGCAATATTAATGACACCTGTCACCAGGCGCTAAAAACCTTGTGATTAAAACAACATAGCAACGCGAGTGGTTTGAAGCGATTGGCTTAGCCAAATAATATCAAATCAGCCTTGAGGTTGCCTGATGAAATTTTGGAAAGATCCCTTGAGGTTGCCTAATGAAAGATAGCAGAATTATTGAGAAGGCATATACAAAAGCTGAACTTTACTTCTAACAGAAATCACAACTCCCTACTAATTACTTAGTTAGGGTCACCATTCACCAAACATAGACATACAAAATATGGAAGGTGGCAAGAGCATTGCACTGGCATTGCAAAAGCATAGGTTCGATTCCTGCCAGAGGACCGATAGTTGACTCATTTTCCCATCAAATGTTCCTGGCTTGAATTTGTGTGTATAAGTGATATAGTGTGTATAAGTGATAATTCCACTTGAAATTAAGGCCCTTTGAACCTCTAGAATTTACTTGCATTGAGCAAAGTGACAAAATCATAAAGAAAATATGAAATGTTCAACATTTTAATTGGTATATAATAAATATTAATTGGAACACTAGCTAGTGTTAAATTCAAAAGTTTATCCCATTTCAATTTTATCATATAATTATTTTCTTAAATTGGGTTAGTTATTGATATTCAATTAGCTTCCTCTTCTTCCGGGTCCTCTTCCTCAAATTCTTCTTCTTCCTCAGCTGTAGCTTCTTGGTATTGTTGATATTCAGAAACCAAGTCATTCATGTTTGATTCAGCCTGAAAACCCCCCAAAATTATTCATAAAGAATTTTATAATGATGAATAAATGAAAGGTGATATCTACCTCAGTGAATTCCATTTCATCCATGCCCTCTCCTGTGTACCAATGCAAGAAAGCTTTGCGACGGAACATAGCAGTGAACTGCTCGCTGATTCGTTTGAATAACTCTTGGATGGCTGTGCTGTTTCCTATAAAGGTACCAGACATCTTCAAACCCTTTGGTGGGATATCACAGACAGCAGTCTTCACATTGTTCGGAATCCATTCCACAAAATAGGAGCTGTTCTTGTTTTGGACGTTCAGCATTTGCTCATCGACTTCCTTCATGGACATACGGCCACGGAACATTGTAGCAGCTGTGAGATATCGACCATGACGAGGATCACAAGCTGCCATCATGTTTTTGGAATCAAACATCTGCTGGGTGAGTTCTGCCACAGTGAGTGCTTGGTATTGGGCTGAACCACGGCTGGTGAGTGGGGCAAAGCCAGGCATGAAGAAATGAAGTCGGGGGAATGGTACCATGTTGACAGCAAGCTTTCGCAAGTCTGCATTCAGCTATTAATTTAGAAAATAACTCAGCTCTAGAAATTAGTCTACAAATTAATTCAATGCAAGGCATATCCAAATCATCTGAGAATCATTGAGCTCTTACCTGACCAGGGAATCTTAGGCAGGTGGTCACACCACTCATGGTAGCTGAAACAAGGTGATTCAAGTCACCATAAGTGGGTGTGGGCAATTTCAAGGTTCGGAAACAGATATCATAGAGAGCTTCATTGTCAATGCAATAGGTTTCATCTGTGTTTTCAATGAGTTGATGGACAGAGAGAGTTGCATTATATGGCTCAACAACAGTGTCTGAGACTTTGGGTGATGGTACCACACTATACGAGCACATGATTCTGTCAGGATATTCTTCACGGATTTTTGAAATTAACAGGGTACCCATTCCAGAGCCAGTTCCACCTCCAAGAGAATGTGTGAGTTGAAATCCTTGCAGGCAATCGCATCCTTCAGATTCTTTACGGACAACGTCGAGAACAGAGTCTATAAGTTCAGCTCCTTCGGTGTAATGTCCTTTGGCCCAGTTATTTCCAGCCCCACTTTGGCCTAAAACCATTCAACACACACATAACTAAGAGCAGTAGAGGTTTATAAATGAGGGCAGTACAATTAAAAGTTTCTATCGTATTATTATCTAAAGTGTTCATGTTTAGAATCAAGAGTTTATGAAATTAAAACATCCTGATAAAGTGATAATATAAATCGATGTTGCGCTTCGATTTAGATTAAATACCAATGGTTGTCAGTCGGATTTATTAACCCAGAGTTGGATTAATCTTGGATTAACTCGTGTCACGAATTAAAGACAATATCATTCAAGAGCTTCCGCTTTTGAACTAAAGTTTTTTAACACCCACCGAATACAAAGTTGTCTGGTCTAAAAATCTGTCCAAATGGTCCTGAGCGCACCGAATCCATCGTTCCCGGTTCCAAATCGACCAGACAAGCTCTGGGGACATATTTTCCACCTGAAACGGACAAAAAACACCCGAGAAATTTAATTTTGATAATTTTAAAGATCACGAACATTCTGAAAATATTTGTATCAAGAATTTACATAGAGATTATACAAGCGAAACTGCACCTGACGCCTCGTTGTAATAGACATTAATTCTTTCGAGTTGAAGGTCGGAATGGCCACTGTATACCCCAGTGGGATCTATGCCATGCTCGCCAGAGATCACCTCCCAAAACTAAGACGAAAAATATTTTACAGGAAAATTCTTGCGAAATGTCAATATCGCTGATAATATGGGTGTATATAAATTGTTACAAAATTTCTCACAAAATTTGCTACATTGACTGTTCTTTTGCCACTCACTAACCTACCTTCGCTCCGATTTGGTTACCACACTGTCCGGCTTGAAGGTGTACGATTTCCCTCATGTTAAAAGATTATATTACAGCATTCAACGATGAACGATAAAAATATAGTATGTCAGTGCTGGCTGCCTGTCAGATTTAAATGTCCACTCGAGGGGGGACCTTCTTCGCCACCCAAGAAGAACACGTGATGTCGTGATCGGATGTCGCAAACTGCAAGTACGTCCCCTGAATCTCCGGGCAATTTCCATATATTGCATCTACACTTGAAAAACTCGACGAGTGCGTCAAAAAACACACGACGATTGCCATGGTCACGGCGACATATCATGAGAGAATGTCGCCGAAAACACTGGACTGAAATATAATTTAGTTTAAACAGCGGAAGTTGACTCTCACGAAAACATTTCGCAATGAGCATGTTATTCTAGTGCAATCGCCCCTTTGTAGAAATAAATGTTTGGCTATGAACGAATAATACGAAATTAGAGATATCTAAAATCATGAAACCATGTATAATATTCTTCTTTTAAAAAATAGGCTCGACTACTCCCGACTGAGAACTCGAATGGTATATTGGCATCCTGCAGAGCGTCTCTGAACCCTTGGGGATCTCATCTCGAAGCCGTGTCGAGGTCATGACCCAACACGATCGTGCCACGTGGCGCAACTTAGCTTCAAACATTCTAGTCCTCAGAGCTCTTCTGGCGCGCGGTTTATCTAGGGTGCAACGCCCTAACCAGACCGCGTGTAAGTAGGGCCTTGGGTACGAGATTTGAAAATGAGCTAGGAGCCAAGGTTCCCCAAAACAAAATTGGTTCATCATCTTGAAAAAGATCCTTGATGATCTTATTGATTATATTTGGTGTTGATATAGTCTCCAATTAAATTGAAAATAAGGTCGTCATCGATTATCTCTCAAAATAGGTCAATAATTATATGTCAAACATTAAAATTCTATCTACATCATACACTTTCTCAATAAAGAGTCGTACGTCAATTGCTCACAATTTCCTCTTCGTCTTTTGATTTCTTATCGTCGGGTTTCATCGCTGGGAAAAGCAGTACTTCCTACAAATAGGAGTGGGAGGTTAATTTTCTTGAAACCGATGGAGTGTAACTTCTACACCCTCTTTCTCACCAAACGTAGCGGTGTAGACTTAAAAATCTGGCCTCTAAAAAATTTTACTGAAAACTTTTAACTACAGTCATAAGAAGGTATAAATAGAAAAGAAAGGTTTTTTGGTCAATTTCATCAGCATTTAGCCAATTATACGTTCATTACGTTGATATACTTGAACCAGCTATTCGAAAATATTAGCTGACTTTCTTAAGCTTCATATAATGAAAGGAAAACTAGAATTTTCCTCACCTTGATATTGTTCGAGTCTGTTAGGAACATACAAAGGCGATCAATCCCAAGTCCCCACCCGGCTGTGGGGGGAAGACCATACTCTAAAGCTGTACAGAAATTTTCATCCACCATCTGAGCTTCATCGTCGCCTGCAGCCTTATCCTGTAAGTAATAAATAATGAAAATGAGCTTTTTAAGAAGCAGCAAACTCCTTGAAGTATTTCCAGAAATTTTAACTTGCATACGGTATCTATCTTGAACAAAATATTTGAGACCAAGAGTACACGAGATATGTATTAGCGATGGTATTTTCTCTCAATAATAAGTTTATTATCGTAAACATTACCGCAGCTTGTTGTTGGAATCTCTCTCGTTGAACGACTGGATCGTTCAACTCTGTATAAGCATTACAAATTTCCTTTGTACAGACAAACAGTTCAAATCTTTCAGTTAAACCAGGAATGGATCTGTGCCTGAAAGAAAGACCATTAAAGGTAAGTTAAAACTATTTTAATCTGATAATAGCAGACCTTGACAATGACGTCAAGAAGTTTGATGAAGAGAAGAAGTCAAAAAGAAGTCTCATTAGCTCGTCAGTTCCACGCTCGTCAGTTAGACTACCACTGTACATACCATTTGGACAGAGGGCTCATAATGACAGGATGCTCAATGATGAACGTTGGATTGATACATTGACTTTCCAAGAATTCCCCAACAAGCTGACGAGAAATTATACAAGCAAAGATCACAATAATGTATAGTAACACTGTAGAAAATGTATTGCAAACATCACATTGCAACAACAAAGAATAGAATAAGCCTTTAAGATATTGCTCTGTTTGGATTTTGTATTGGATCGATTCATTTCAATGTTCGTCTATTCTTGCGTATGTATGTAAAATGGCAAAACCTAATCCTAACGTTTTTAGTGACAGGAATCAGATTATGATATCATCATTTTTTATCAGCCCCGAAAGATGGTAATATGAAATGATTTTCATCATTTTCCCGACACTGAAAAAGAAATGGGAAAGTACATGGGAATGACGGCGAAAACCAACCTTATCTAAAAGCCGAGCAACAGTTCTTGGAGATGGACAATCCACTTCGTGTTTGACACAAAGATCATCAAAGAACTTGCGAGCCTCTGGAAAAAGATAATAAAAATTCAAACTTTGATAAAACTGTTCCAGCTATAAGAGCCAAATAACCTAAGGAGTTTTGATATTTTTCTCTGCAGGGAAACTTAGTTGGATCGTGAAGTTTGCTAAGATTACTAAAACAATACGGTACTGCTGTTCCCAAGGCATGAAACAGACATCACTATAAGCCTTACAGTGGATCTGCGATTATCTTGGGTTGTGTTTACTCTCACCTTACCAGATATAGCATACTCTGCATGAATGACAGAGCAACTTGCCCAGGTGGTAAGGTTATCGATATTTAATTGTGAAAATAATATAATTTCATAAAAGCAGACCATCATCCAAATCATTTTCCTCAAATATAGTAGAAATCCAAGCAAGGAGAACTTTTGCAGCTCTGTTAGACCACCATACTAGCATGCATAAACAGAGGCCTAACCAATAACCATTGGGTCATCTTACACACCTTCGGTACCAAATGTTGTTGGTGATGGTATCTTGACTTTCAAAACCTTCTCCAGCTCTGAGATCATGGAAACCCTTTTGAATGGTGGTGTGAAATCAACCTCCATTGGTGCCCCCAGCTCTGCGTCAGTCTGGTTTGCATGGTATTTGATCTTGTAACCACCAGTCACATGTTTAACCATGCCTGACACCATTGTTTCAGTGAGTTCCATAAGATCTTTATAGTCAGCATAGGCCATGTAAAATTCACATGTTGTGAACTCTGGGTTGTGGGTAAGGTCAATACCTGAACATAGAAATCATGGTTATAAATGCACACCCATTGTTCAGCAAATAGTAAATAATTTAAGGGATAATAAAAACATTACTACCAAACTATTATGACAATTAAGTCTGAGTATAAGACCAGATTTTACTAAGTTAATGATGCATTTTTCATTATATTCCATACTTACTTTCATTTCTAAACTGACGGCCTATCTCGTAGACCCTATCTAAGCCACCAACAACGCACATCTGCAAGAAATGAATGCCAATTGCTGAATGCATCAGAAATACACAAATATCACACTCAAATTGCAAGGATAAGTTATCAAATTCTTCAATAGTATTGCTGTAAAACTGATGTTCCCAAGGCATGAAACAGCCATCACAAGTTGAAAAATGTGAAGCTGGGATTAACTTGGGAATTTATCTCACCTTACCAGATATAGTTTATCCCACATGAATTTAGCAGGAAACTTGCCCAGGTGGTAAGGTACAGTCCACATATGTATGTTTAGTGTGTCTCCTGATAACTCTCATAGTGTAGGTTTCATAGAAAGAGATTTTTACCTTATGATACAATTCAGGAGCAACTCTCATGTAGAGATCCATATTTAAATCATTGTGATGAGTTATGAAAGGTTTGGCTGTCGCTCCACCAGCAATCATGTTCATCATTGGTGTTTCAATCTAAAATACCAACACCTTGGATTAACGATAATCAATAAAGTGTTACCAGAATAGCAGATTAAAGAGCATAGCACAATAATGTGCTCAGCAATATAAATTTTTACACTCACCTCTAAAAATCCTAGATTATCTAAAAATTTCCTAACATAGTTGATTATCTTTGCTCGCGTCAAAAATTTTTCACGAACATGGTCATTCAAAATCAGGTCGAGGTATCGCTGTCGGAATCGGGTTTCCTGTGACGAGAAATTGAGAATGCTTGTGTTTAAAGAGTGTTCTGACACAAGGGAGAAATTGTCCAAAAAAATTAACCAATCTTTGTTAAGGCTCAAATATAGTACAGAATGCAGGAAATGTTAAACCAACCTTATCCTTCAAGCCATAATGAAGGTGAGGCAACATATGCAAGCAAGGCGATAATAACGTCACTGACAATGGCATAATACTCAGTTCTCCCTTTTTTGTTTTGCCTGGACAAAAAAAATATGATTTTACTACCTGAGAACACAACACACATGATATTCTTTTGCTCAGTGTATGCAACCCTTTTCATGTCAATTTTTGAAAAAGAAGTTGCACCTGGTTTTCCTTTAACTCCTATGATATCGCCCCTCCGAAGATTTCCATGTACTTCCGCAAAATCTTGTTCAGATACTCTAAGAATAGTAATAATTAACAATAAGAATAATATTAATTAATAATAAGAATAGTAATAATTAATAATAAGAACAGGCCTCAAAACATTTAGTTTACTTGTTGAATAAAATGACAGTTTTGCTTTCTATTTTGATGTTAACCACTGTTTAAGCAAAACAGGCTTGATACAACCAGCCCCTGCTGTAAAGTTCATAGTGAAGTTCTATGTCCAGTTAAACTAGAACCATACCATACCTAGCATCTGCCATAACTTGCAACTTTGTTCCTTCACCACGGAGATCATAAAATATCAATTTCGCTCCTTGCAACCGTTTGGCATGTACTCTCCCTAAATGCCAGGAAACACTTAGTTATAAGTTGAAAGTAGAATTGAGTAGTAGAGTTGAGTGTGAAAAGTGAAAGCAACTACAGTTCAAGCGGCAAAAATAATTAATTTACGTCCATAATCACAATGACCACATGCTCAGATGCAGATAATTTTGGTAATTCTTTTTTTTGTGTGAAGGTACCACCATCACCAAGAATTTTTTTTAGTAAACCAAGACCTATTTTGGGTCAAGTCTTAAAGTAATGTCACCAGCTTGTCCCACAAACTCTCCACAAGTTTGGATTCGTTTGTTCTATTTGCTGGGATTATAATATTGGCCTGTTTATAAATGAATATGTTACCATGAAACACATCATTGTTAAGTTGTAAACAGGCCTTCAAATGCATCCTACGATTCCTATGTATACCTATTCATGATCACCTGCATTTTACAATAGTCTGTCATATCACAGCCTTAAAGAGGGGGGAAAGGGGGTATAGTGGCCTCTTCACATCAGTTCTGCTCATAACATTGTAGGATTCCATGATTTTGTAAAGCATAGTATCATTTTCTGATTCTCGTTTATCATACCTGCAACTGAAACAACCTCCTCCAGCCATGTTCCCTCCTCACAACCACTGTATCTCTCAATAAATTCTTGCAAAGACACAGAAACATGGAATTTGTGTGGATATGGTGATGTATCGCTTTGCTTCTGGCTTGCAATAGCAAGACTTCGAATTTCAAAGTATTTCTACAATCATATTGAAGAAATATATTTAGTGAATGATATTCCATTATTTTAAGAAGGCATGACCACTATGAAGCTCATGACCATTAAGTGTTTCTTGTAAAGTATCATGTAAACCTGATCTAGTATTGGTTGGATAACTGCAGTAACTGCTGTGATGTTAGTGTGCTCAGCATTTTTTTTATAAGAATCAGTCCTGACCTAATTTTCTTTAGCATTTTTTTTATAAGAATCAGTCATGACCTAATTTTCTGCATACACATGTATAGATAAGAATAAAGATTGTCTCGGTAAACAAGTTCAAGACTAGCCCCTTGGCTGCTGACATCCTGTGAACAATTCTCAAGATACATGTATGTGACAGATCACATGATGCTCAGAAGGTCAATACATTGTTATGTTTGGAATGTAAATACTTTGATTCTTACATTGGGGTCTAAAGTTTCATCTAATTCATCAGTTTTCTTTTCCTTTGCCTTGACTTCATTACCCTGCAAAGAAAATAAAAGACAATGTCACTGAACCGAACAGGTCAGGTGCTGTTGGTAGAACAGTGTCGAACAAAATGTTTTAAACACAAGGCCATTCTTGGAAATGGCAAAGTGAAGTCAGAGAAATTAAAACTTGATTTAAGTGCTACTGCTTTTCTATGTAGAGACATGTCAAATAACAAAATCTTCTTTCAAAAGAACTGTCTGTGAGTTTGTTGATACAGTAAAATATAATGTCCACTCTGCTTGGCTTGTTTATTTAAGTAATTCTAAAATTTTAGTCAAAGCAGTTTGGTTCCCAAAATAAGGACCAGAACCATACCCCATAAAATCATTCAGTACTTCATAAAATGTCAGTATTTGAAAACCTGGACAAGCAAGACGCATTTACACTTTAACAGGGCCTTAATTGTAGTTTTTTCATCTAAATAGTTTGTCCTAAGCTCACAAGATAAGTGGCCTGTCTGAACCTGTCCATATACCTACATACGACCACACACCAAAACCAACCACTATGAATATTCAATGTTTACAATTTAAAAAAACCCGATTAATTTAATTTAAGCCCCAATATCTAAAATGTTTCACAATGAAATGTTTCACATGTGAAATTTGACCGTTACAAAACAACATAATACATAACATACACTCTTTTCAGCTGATTTTGCCTCTTTTTCTTTCGCCTTTTTCTCGGCTTTCAAGCGTCGTTTTATTTCACTACAAAACAGAAATAGCACCACAGCTAAGCGCCACGGAAGCATAGAAACTAAACGAATACGTATAACGGAAGAAAAAGGGCTAAAAGCACTCACTTTTTGCTTAATTTCTCTTCGCCTTCGCCGGCGTCTGCCATGCTTGCAAATAACCGTGAACTAAAGACCACGTGTATTTCAGCTGAACTTCTCGTGCTGTTGTTTGTCGACAACGCCCGAGCGTTTGCAGAAAGGCAACGCAAAAAACAGCGGTACATTCACTGTAAACGATGCCGAATTTCGGTCAGGAAACGTGACACATTTGAATCATTTGGAGATATTTTTTCCCTGCATTTTAGTTGCTGGCGAAAGTTACATGGCGGTTATCATTGGAAATATTCTTGATATCTTCCGGAAGTGTTCGGAATTGCTTCGGAAAACATTCGGATATTTTGCCCACACGACGATACACCGTTCTGGGTCACAGCTGGATTACAGGAATGATGCAAGCGCGAAAATTATTTTTTTGGAATTTGTCAAGTCAGGTGTTTTCTCTAGCTTGGACTTCCTCCATACAGACCTCCAGGTCACGCTCGAATCCAGGCAAAAACAGGAGATTCTGTGTGCGCATGATCGAAGAGGTGATGCAAGCGCAAAACGTCAGGAGTTTCCCTTGGACATGTTGCGCTCGATCGAGTTTAGGTGAAATTAGGGTGGAAACAGGAGGTTAATTACTCCGTGTCCATCGGCAGAATCCCTGAGATTCAAAGTCAATAAGTCAATATATTGAGAATTTTTTTCCAGAAGTATCCTCAGCGATATGAAATATTACGTCTGTTTTAATCTGAAACTGCGGAGAAAGCGAAAGTTTCGGGATTTGAACTTCAATCTATTGGTATCTAGACTAACACACTACTTTACCAATTGAACTATCGCGCCAGAAAGCATGATATTTTCTTTCTGCAAAAACGCATCTTGTCTATCCTGCTATCGATACGTTGACCAAAATAGCCTAATATAACTAGCCATTTCTTGCTAAAATGACGTGACAAATATTTTATTAAGATTAACATGCCATTTAGTATATAATGGCTGTTAAATGATTCCAATAAGTATCCTGTCGTTATGAAACCATTGTATGTAAATTTAGTTTTTTTTAACTGCAAGAATTCCTAATAAAATTCCAAATTCTAAATATCAGAAAGACGAGTTATGATTACTTATGCTCATAAGCCAAGGTTATAAAATGCTATAGTACGATCAAGAACGATCGATATATTTATAAAACACTCACCACACAAGGGATTTTAAACGTTTCGTGACAATTTCGAGTGTTATTACACGTAAAACTACACTATCAAATATCATAGAGCACTCGACCTTATAAAGAATTCTCTAGCCTTAAAAAATAATCCTAAATAACTGTAGATACTGTCCCGCGGAGATTAAAATGTTTTCCCTTCATTTTCTAATCTTGCTCTGCACTTTTACCATGTATTTATCGCTCGGGACCAGGAATGTGTTGAGCGCACAATCCGGGCAAAACGCGAGCAGCGTTGTTCTTGTTCTTGGGGGAAATGGCTTTATTGGCAGCTCGCTGGTGGCAAAGTTGCTCTTGATGGACGGATACAAGGTGACGACTTTGAATCGAGGACGCCATTATTTCGACTCTGGGTCCCGGATTGACACGCATGTGAGACGAATCGTCTGTGATCGCGCAAACATTTACATCTGTTCGGAGCTCGTTAACTCGACGGAATTTTACGACGCGGTCGTAGATTATTCTTCATTTTATATGGAAGATATTCAGGTATATCAAGTTTCGTTGAACAGTTATCTAAGGCCCAATCGCGGTTCACACGACATCAGATAAATTAGAAAAGTTATTATTCCTCAAACCTCGACAATTTTATTTATCGCAGTTCTCAGCATAAATTGTAGATTCCGTGTAACGTAAAGTTCTTTCAACGAAAACACATAAATCATCGAAAAAAGGAAAATAATAAGCACGATTCTGATAGGCCAATACTGCCACTAATCATAGTTATAACTAATGACGCTAATCATGCTAATTTTTTCTAACGGTAGTTTGCTTAATTTGAAGGATATTTTACAGATATTACGGGGACGATTTGAACGCTATATTTACATAAGCTCGGACTCTGTGTACGAAGTGTGCATAAAGAATCCCCACGGGGGACCTAGCCGGGAGGAAGATGCCATTAGACCACGCGACCCGCGTGAACGACACGAAATAAATATGGCAGATTACTACAGCCACCAGAAACTAGGCTGCGAAGAGGTTCTTCAAAATGAACGAAAGTTGAATGGCATAAACTACGTCAGCCTTCGCCTGCCTTACGTCATTGGGCCACGTGACACGACAGACCGGTTTTGGAATTATCAAATCTGGTTATTGACGCACCAACTGGATGGGTCTTTGGGTCCGGTACACTTAAATCCAAACATAAATAAACTTCTCAACTTTGTCTATTCGGAAGATGTCTCAGATTTGATTGCGAAGCTTTTAGAAGTTGAACTGGATGTTTATAACGAGGCATATAATGTAGCATTTAAACCGGTCACCCTTGAGAGATTCCTCGGTATAATGGCGGGATCTTTAGGAGTAGATGTGGTCTTCAATAGGACAGATGAAGCGAATTTACACTGGTATCCACCGATGACCCATGGCTCCACGAGTACAGCTAAAGTCATACAGAAATTAAACTGGAAGCCCTCTTCTCTTGAGACGGCTATAAGAAGTTCGTGCGAGTTTTATCAGAGGGCAATGTCCGTTTGGAAATATAAAATTCGACGCGACCGTATACTACAAAGATATCTACCAAATAAGGTGCTAAGAGAAAGGTTCTTGAAAGACCAATTGAACGATGTTTCTCGAGAAGAACTTTGAAAAAGCTATGAACATTGATTCAGTAAATTCTATTTGAAACACATTGATAATTTTGGCCCCAGCCGTGGCAGCATGACCCTGGGCCTGAGTAAGCCATCAGACACTGTTAATGTATCGTATTTCCCCGTAAGCGTCGACTTTATATAGGTAGTTTAGGCAGAGAAAACTTCAACGAACTGAGGCAATACAGTCAGTCTAGTCAGTACTCCGTCAAAACAAAAAGTCGACCTGTATTTGCAATTCAAGTCTTTTTTTCATCCTAAATTTTAACATAGAAATATTATTGTTCCACATTTAATTATGGTGAATTCTAAAATAAAGGTTTTTCAATTTCGATTAGTATATAAGTTTGTTCCGTTCGTGTTGACCATCGATATGAATGAACGTGGATCATGCAGCTTGTGAAGCTATTCCGATTGTTTTATGCTTCTACTGAACTATATGCAGATCATTGGCACGCAAAGCCAATCAGAAAATCTGGAGTACAAAAATGGCGGCGAGTGCTTTTAAAATTTAACTTCTGAACAACTGAAATGCGCGCTCCAGGTTTATTTAAAGCTCAGTCTCTGCTTGTTCAAGGTATCAAATTCCAGTAGGGATTTCTGAAGGATTCACTGAATGGTTATATTGTGCTGTGTTCATGAATGGTGCAATGTGGATACAACTTGAATATCAGTGTTGACTTTAACCTGCCGCAAACCGATGCCTCAGTTTTTGAAAGTACTCCACGCGCTTGCCGGTCACTTCAAAATGTGTCTCATTTACCTGCTCATTATACTTTACACGACCGCCATGTATTTGCCGTTTACGACCAAAGCGCAAAATTCGACGCGTGAAATTCTAATTTTGGGCGGCAATGGCTTCATCGGCAGTTCGCTTGTTGCAAAGTTGCTATCAATGGACGGCTTTAACGTGACGACAGTAAATCGAGGCCGATATTACTTCGACTCACGATCGCGCGTTGATCCCCATGTGCGACGAATCATCTGCGATCGCGCGAATATTTACAACTGCACGGAGCTTGTGAATTCGACGCAATTTTACGACGCTGTCGTGGATTTTTCTTCCTACTATATGGAGGATATGCAGGTATATTAACTATGTTTGGTTTCCACTATTCAATAATTCGTCTGTTTATTATCCTATCCTATATTATCCTAGAATTATAATGTTTTAGGCCTCTTTTAAACGTCATGCTTTTCAATGCGCCGAACGCATTTAAAACAATAGTTATCTGTTTATATCAATAGTTATCACTAATATCAATAGTTATCAATAGCTATCATTAATATCAATAGATATCAATAGTTATCATTATCTATTGTTGTTAATAATGCGTTTGGCATATAAGAAGAACGACGTTTGAAACAGGCCTTACATCAGTTACATGCATCTTGTATCGATGCAAAGGTTTGGTTAGAGCAAAATCAAATTACCTAACAATGAAAGGCCATTATATTAATAACCAGCAATGATAAAATAGCTTATTAATGAGCGTTATGTATTTGAGAGAAACTCATTCATTTATTCCCTTACTAAAGGGCATTCTACACATATTGCGGGCTCGATTTGGTCGCTATATTTTCATCAGCACAGACTCCGTGTACGAAGTGTGCATAAAGAATCCCCACGGGGGACCTAGCCGGGAAGAAGATGCTATTAGACCTCGCGACCCGCGCGGACGACACGAACTAAATATGGCAGATTATTACGGCCACCAGAAACTGGGCTGCGAAGAGGTTCTTCAAAATGAGCGAGATTCAAATGGCATAAATTATGTCTCGCTTCGCCTTCCTGACGTCTTCGGACCACGTGACACGACAAACCGGTTTTGGAATTATCAAATCTGGTTATTGACGCACGAAATCGAAGGATCTTTTGGTCCGGTCCATTTAAACCCGAAGGAAAATAAACTAATCAGCCTGGTGTATTCCGAAGATATCTCAGATCTAATAATCAATCTTTTGAAAGTTGAACTGAATGTTTACAACGAAGCATACAATATCGCATATGAGCCAGTGACCCTTGAAGGATTCCTCGGTACAATGGCGGAGTCCTTAGGAGTAGATGTGGTTTTCGACAGGACAGATCAAGCAAATGTACACTGGTATCCCTCGGTCACCCGTGGAGCGGTGAACGCGACAAAAGTTTTTGATAAGTTGAACTGGAAACCTTCTCCAATGAAGCTCGCTGTTAACAAGTCGTGCGAGTTTTTCCGTGAAGCAATGTCGATTCCAGAATTCGAGAACAGACGAGATGGTATTTTAGGACGTTATCTACCGAAAAAGGACTTACGTGAGAGCTTTTTGAAGGGCGAACTTTCAAATGACGCCTCCCGCGAGGAACTTTGAGTGGGTTTGACTTTGAATGAACTTTTTAATTTTTGCCAAATGAGAGAATACAGTACGTCTGTCAATACGAAATACACACGCGGGTATTTAAGGCAAAATGACAGATATTCCGAAAATAAATTTTATTCCCCACTTTCTGGAAAGTTAGGCCTAGGTTATACGTCGCATTTTGGGCAGATAGATAATGAGATGGTAAACCTCATTAAGCCTCATTATCATCTCATTATCTATTGTTTAAATTGCATTCGACGCGACCAAAATGCGACGTATAACCTAGGCCAAAAAGAAGTTTGTTTGCTTTATGGTACAGGGGTCCATGTGTGGATGAAATAGAGACTTGAAACACGTTTAACTGCATTAAAAGTAGATAGAATATTACGTAACAAATTCGAGGTGTAAGGTACTATATAATTAGTGAATAAAGCCAGAAAAATGTTCATCTAAAGATTAACCGTGTTTTGCTTTCTGAACGCGATTCTATACGTTCACCATTTGATAAATGTAATGTTATCGAAGTTCACATAAAACCTTACGTTACGAGTTGTATACGTAGCATAACGCACGTCTATCGTCTTATCATGCAGCGACATTTTACCAGAGATTTTTCGATAACTACAAAGGCTAATTACGCCAACAAACGGACAATGGTGAACTACCAAAGATAATGTCACTTTCTGAATCGTTTAGGTCTGATTTTCGTATCTAAGTTTGTCTTACTACACATGTCAATAAGTTTGCCGATACTCAACCAAAGAAACGGGTGACGTCGAAATCCTGTGGATCAAATTTTTCATCAAAAATATCCTGACCGTCGATTTCCTTCCAGTGTGGCGGCCATGTTTCTTGTATCGATTTTCGGGGAGATAATCTGTTATAGTAATCCCCCATGAGTGGAAAGATTTTGCCGAGAGTCGGACGCATGCGCATTACGAGAGCTAGTTGTGGAAAGAAAACAGCATCGGCCATTGTGAACTTACTGCTCGTGAGGTAGAAATCGTTTTTGTGCTACAAAAGAGGAGCATTTTAGAGATTTAGGACCGATTATACAAGGCGAATCCTACGTTTGAGTGATTACAGGGCCAATGCATAATGCTGAGATATTTCACCCTATTGCTTGTTAGGACCTGTGAATAACCAATTCATAATTTTAAGTGCTGTAACTAAAGTCTAAAGATCCGTTTACACGCAATTTCTACTGCGATTTTATGTATGATTTTCTTCTTATGAGCCATTGCACGAGAGCTGTATCGTGGTGATGAGAAGTTTAAGATTATACAACAAATAAAGTCGAAGTTTCCTACATTCTGAAGATAGCTTTCCCAAAGTTGAAGTTCTTTGTCGAGTTCCTTCTTGTTGCTTCTCATCACGTCCTTTGAAATGAAAAAAACGGAGTGTGTTAATTCAATAACTGATATACTCATTCACGTTAAATATAAATACAATTTAGTTAAAAAACATAGGATTGAGCAATAGTAACACCTGATTGATTTCCTCGACCGGAGTATGGACCAGATAATACAATACTTCTTGGACTCTTTTCTGAAGCGTCAGCGCCTTAAACATATTTGTTTGTCGACGAGTGAAAATAGAGCCTATATATATATATATATATACATAGGTGCAGGTACAGCAACAACGGATATAATGTGTTTACAATAAAAAAACCATGCAGTGTTGTATTGCATAAGATAGTAGTTGTTTTTTTTATTATCTAATTTTCAATAGTTGTTTTTTTATCTAATTTTCAATAAAAATATGCAATGAAAGATTTGCGGTGACATCTTTCAACTCACGCGGTCGTGCATGCGGCGGAAGTTGCTAGCGATGTCCTTAACACACTTTAAAATATGTTTATCATTCCCCTATTTGTCACTAATGCATGTGTCCCCCCCGATAGTCGGCGATAGCTATTGTCAGTGCCATGACTACTCTCCTATTCCCTTATTTTTTTCGAACGAATTTTCTTTCATCATCACCATCAGGCACCAGCAATATTTCGCTGACTGTCGCGGTGAGATATGAGAACCAGGCTTATTATCTTGAATAGAAATACATGCTATGTATATATAGCACCGCGTGTAACAAGTTTTAACGAGGGTTGCAAGATTACTGCACAAACAAACAAAATGTTATCAAAACCTTTTTTGCTCTCTCTTCTGCATATTTTCTTTCATGCAACTCTGGTTTTAACTAATTATGACTTACTTTAATAGTACTTATATCATCGAGGTTGAAAGGGCCTGTTTACATGGAGCGAGTTATTCTACCTAGGCGAGGTAAAAAGCGCATCAAATCAAAGGCTTAACCTGACTAGTCTTTCATTATATGCAGTTTTCACCTCGTTTAGCTGGAATAACTCGCTGCATGCTTATAAACAGGCCCTAACTATAGAAATTTCCTGATCCACATCAACGTTGAAATCATTATAATAGCTATACAATATTTTCTTCGACATCAGGTTTTTCGCCTGTATTTTCTTATCGTGACAGGAATGCTATAGTATAGCAGACTATTATACCTCATACACTCTTTGTAGTGCCAAGGCCTTTTCCTTCTGATCATCAGGTAACAGCTTTGTGCCTTTGTTTGGAAATGTGTCCTAAAATAAAAGAACCTCCTAAAATAAAAGAACCTCCAGTATCACACAAAGTAAAGTAACGTTCCAACTTCCAATGAACCTCGATGACACAACACAAAAGCACGTTTTTATTTTAAGCGGTGAACAAACTTTTCCTGTGTAAACAGGGGAATTTGGATAAGAAAAAACATGTTTCGGTTATCCTCTTGTTTACGGGCTATGTGGTTATAACAATCCCAGCCAAGATTACAGGCTTTAGTTATCGGAAAAGCCAGGCAAAGGTAGAAAAGAAACGGCTGGCCCATGCAGTAGCCTATAGGGGAAAGAATTAAGAGCATGCGCGTATCTAGATAACCACATCACGTAATCCATGCACATGCGGTCACAGTTAGTAGAGAAATTAACCGGGACATGTCGCAGTGCTCGGAAGCTTTCGTCCAATTGGATAATGCTTTTCTATGCTTTCTAAAGAACGAAGCTATGCTATTGGTTGAAACAGAAATGTATTGTAAAGTTCAGCCAATGAAAATCATTCTTACGAGGAGCTGCGACACTACCCGGGGGAGAAACATGTTGTGCTATATGCATGTGGGGGTTCATTTAATCCTCATCAAATAATGACGTACTTTTTGTTAATTAGGAGCTAGTTGGACAAAGAATATATTGGTCTCTGATCTTGGATCAAGGACCTACTACATTCAAGGGTCTATTACATTTAGCAGTCGCGTACATGAACAGAAATTTTTGCCGGTTTTGCTCCAGAACGTACAACTTACTCCGGCAAGACAAATTCATCGCCAATTCCGTGTTGTCGAAAACAGCTCTCATGTCAAAATGTCGGGAAGTTTTTTTTTGAGTTTCAGCAAGTTTATATAAATCGATAAGACAGTTTCTAACCCTCATTTCATTTTATTCATTGAAATTACCTCGAGATAATGGCAAATTCCCAAGGATTCGTTAAGGATCGTGTCGTCGTGTTTGAAGGCTGGTAACTACAAATAGGCAGGAAAAACCGTCAAATATATATAGGTTTCAAAGCCAAATTAATTTATTATTTATAATCTAATATTTCGGTATGATTGAAAAGCAGTTTTCCTTACACATGCATGCATGACTACCATGCAATTAATGTGTATTACATTATAATTATATTTTAAAAAACGTTACATACTGAGGTCTCTTTTTAGTGAAAACATCACGATAAAAATAATAGGAAATATATAAACATGTTTTGAAAAAAGGTATATAGTGGTAGTCTTCGTACACAAAAAAGTACAGAAAAGTACAAAAAAGAATCATGGCTGGAGAGGAATATTTCGTTCCTCCGTATGAGAAAAGGTTTAGTTTACAATCTGCAAATTAAACACATTCCCTCACCTGTCCTCGTGGATTTATATCCACAATTTGTTCGGATTTGTGTTCATTGCTTAAGAACGACAACTGTTTGCTTTCGTATTCTCGCAGACCTTTCTCTTCCAAACAGATCATTACTCGCCAACAGGGGACGCTACCGGAGCCCCAAAACAGCGAGAATCGTCGCGAATGACAGGGTTTTGGTGAGAAAGATTCGCCATCTCGTTCGGCCATCGTTGGAGATAGAAGAATCGTCGTCAATAGATCTTGCAAAAAACCAAATCGTCTGCCTGTTTCCCGTATATGGGCGCGTGAAAGTGTGAAGCAGAACTGTAGCGAACCGTTGTTGTTATCAAGTCGATTTTGTGAGAGTTTTAATACCGCAAAATCGCATCGCCATGCCGGCCGTTATCTTAGCGTGGGTAATTCAAGATTTGTGTGGATATAATACGTAGACGATAATCCGCTTATTTGCAAACTAGCTGTTATCAAGCTCGCGCGCTATATATAGTCTATGACTCGTCAGAAATCGAGGAAAAACTCACGATATTTATAGGCTTGTTAAGTTGTAAGAAGCCTGCCTATTTTAAACCGTTAAACGGTCGATAATCCATTCAAACTCTTTCGCACATTTTAGTTGTACATGCATATAATTCTCGTACAAGAAATATCCAAAACAATAAAAATCACCAGCATCCCAAGTAGTCCCAAACATTGAACGTTTTAAAGTCTGTTCACAATCACACGACCAATTTTGTCGGTCCAATTCGTTTCTGACATAAGTAATGTCACGGTAGTTCGTTATACTGATAATGCAGTTCTGCACTGGCATTAGTTAATTTGCCCCTTATGTAGTCTGTTGATTTCAACAGACTATAAAACATCCACCAGAAAACAAAATTGGGTTGTGTGAATAGACCTTTATATTACCTAGCCGGCCCTAGGCTAGAGAGGAAATATCAGTTTAATATCATACTGAGAAGCTCAAAATAGCCGGAAAGTAAAACTTCATCACATTACTGATTCAGCAAATGAGAAGTTCGACCTCTGAAACGCGCCTAGAAGTGTCCTCTCATGAAACATTTCTTGCTTTGAACAAAGTATAAGCACATTCATGTCTGAATGATTGATAAACGCAAAACGTTTGTGAGCAAAGATTGTTTGTCTGCCATGGTCGGTTATATGAAAAGAAACTCGTGCGATAAAATTTTGAAGTCAGACTTTTTAATATCCTAGATCTATCTTCGCTTATAATAAATCCATGGATTTGCTCTAGGAGACTAGGATTTTCAAAATCCATCTGGTGACTGTCACGAAAGTATACAGCATTTTCTGTGGAGTTGCATGGCACAGGTTGATCAGCTGGTCATGACATTCAGACAAAAGCCTCGAGGGGGGAAAGAGGTGATGATACCATCTGGCATTTTAGCCAGACCGAATTTGTTTGAACGATTGCGAAATTCTATATGTCTTTTATGGATGTGCAAGTCTAAATCTGCAGTCTTGAATTGAGAGAAAACAAAAAATGTTTGCGGTATTTTTTACAAAAAAATACACAACAATATAGCAGCTAACTATTGCCTGTGACATACATTCATATATACATTCGAGTTCCCTGTTCGCTAAAAACTATATTCAGTTCAAAATAATCTAATAATGCATATCAATCGTATATGTGCATGACCCCATCGAATTGTCGAACGAGCTTCGTCACAGTTCATATGTAAAAAACACAGATTTTAAGTTATCTGTAGTTAATGGACATACTGACAGCCAAAATCAGCCGATACTCTCCGACGGCTTATTTAATCTATGAAGGAGTGAAACTCCAACGCTTTAGCACAAATATAGCGCGTGACTAATATAAACTAAAGCCGTTTTTCCACTAGCGATGTTTTTAGCGCGAATCGACATATTACTGTTGTTCCCGAACTCTCATCTGCAACCATCTGGAACAAATTGCTCAAATACAAAGGAATAAAGTCGCTTCGCGCGAAAACTATCGCTAGTGGAAAATCGGCTTTAGTAGCTACGTATTTTCATGTCTCCGTCGAATATGCATGCGTGGTCTTGAATTGCATGTGTGTTGTTGGCGTTGCCAAGTATGACATTTAATTCATGCTTTGTCTTTGAGCACATGTTTCATTACTTTCAGCCTCATTCAAAATGCCAAAAGTTGAAAGATAATCCACTTCAACATTTGCCACGTGTATATGCATGAGCCGTGAAAGCGGATAGCGTAGGTAGACTAGGCAGATATCTCGTTGTTTTAAAGATGTTAAAACAGGTTTGGTTTAATTAAAACGGCAAAAGACTATACCAAACGTAAGGTTTTCCTCTGCTAAAAACAGCAATGTCGACATTTCCCCTCACAGCATTTTCAATTCGCTTAAACACGGAACACGCGAGTTATTAAACAGACTTATTGCAAGCAAATGCAGGCCATCGTCAGCAAAACATAAACTAGGCAGCCATTGGAGAAGTCTAACGAATCAACATTGAATGTCGACGCCATAACAATTCCGATAACCTTAAAACTCGACTTAGCTGTCTAAAACGTAGGTCAGGGTTATGTTTCATAACTTATAATGCCACTCAATGGCCTAGCAAACTGGATGGTCAGGGGGGGGGGCTGGATACTGATATGTTCGTATTTTGAATTATTTATCTCTTCATGTGTTAACGTTGTGAATAGATGTACAAAGTATAAAGAAAATAAATTCTTGCACGTTTCTAGCAAACCTTGCAAGCGAAACAAATAGGCACTCAAAATAGGCCTCAAAGATGGCTGCTATATATTATCGCTAGCCTTTTAAACAGTTCACTGTCAACCAGCAGCTGCGAAGCAATGTCTCTGGTCACGATTACCTGCGCAAGACACACAACAGCACTTGAAAACGCCACCGAACTCCACTCATGTCGGCCGCTGATATAAACACTGGCTCGACCGCCTTGAATCGGGCTGGCGTGGGATCATGCAAGCACTCTTGAAATTCTAGCATCAAGCATCAATATATAAATTTATAAACCGCAGTTTCAAGGACGGCATTGTATTTTTTGCGCGTTTTGATATTCAAGGTCTTTAATCATCCCACAAATAATTGTTATCATGATATGACACAAAATACGTTCCTCTTTTGGATACTAAAAAAGTTATGTAATTTGATTTCCGCTTTGAGCAAAAGGCCAGGAAATCAGTGCTTGAAATGTTAGCGGAGTGAATAATTTTTTTAAGGAATTCGGTTCCGGGCCTGTCCCAGGCAACTATATTATAGTCGCGTGGTTTTTTGTATTCTTTAAATGCTGATATTCGATGCCGATGTTTTCCTAATGTTCCTAATTTCACCCCATGAACGTCGAATATCGTGCTTGAAGCACCGGAGGAACTCAGCACGATCAATGACGTGCAACTTATTAAATACATACCAGAGACACTCCCCCAGCAAGCCCTATGGCGTGACAAGATAGCAAAAGCTGATACGACCCGCACGACTCGTAAAACCTTGCGTGAACATCGTTGGCTTGTACACGCGTAAAAACGCACAAGTTGTAACAAGTCTGCAGCAGAGCTGTTACAAGTTTGTTCACAAGCTTGCACCAAGATTTATTCGCACCGCTTGCTCCAATTTGTTGTAACAAGTTTGGGACAAGTTGTTAACAACTTGTAGCAAGTCCGATGGCGCTATCAGACTTGTTACAAGATTGTTCTGACAAGTCTTATCAGATATGATGCAACAACATTGCTACAAAATTGACAGAAAAGAATTGTAACAATATTGTTTCATCATGTTTGTACCAGACTTGTTGCAACAGCCTTGTAGCAAGTTTTTTGATTCAACAAGTTTGTTACAACTTGTTAACAAGTTGTCCCATCTTGTCAGCAGCTTGGGACAAGCAGTGCGAACAAATCTTGTTACAAGCTTGTGAACAACTTGCTACAAGATATGATATTTTTACGTGTGTAGTAAAGCGGAAATTTCGACTGGGGTGTCCGGCAAGCCGTACAGCGATATATACGTGCGCAGTTCAACCGCCGTTGAAGATCAGGGCAGACAGGGCCATTTTTCTCTACCAAAAGACGAATTCTTTAAGAATGAAGATTGTGGCTAAAAAGTCGGTTATTTATGTCATACTCTACCTCGTCTGTTTTATAAGGGTAAGGTCAAGAAGCTTACTTTTTTGTAGTCGGTAAGAATATTAACCTTTACAGCCGGCGTTAGATCTATAGAACTGCTCGTCAAGACTATGTATTATAATCGCCGCGCGTTTCAAAACATAATACACGCGGTCAATTATACGTTAGACAACAGCGAAGAATGTCAGATATGTGGCATTGCAGACAAAACTGAAGATAAGTCAATTTTTTCATCTGTGAATCTACATGATGATGTAGTTAATATTTTGCGATAAGTTCGTATTCGAATTGGTTAAAAAACGTCCCAGGGGATATAGGGATGGCCAAAAGCCAAGTATATAAACGTCCGGTGGTTGTGCATGCCCCCTGACCCGAACGATGATTTCATAATATAAGATTAACTGAATAAAAGTTGATTTAAAAATTGATCAAGAGTCAAGACGTACATTAAGCGTTACTACTGTTATATTTTGTTAACTATACGGGTATGGGATTGCCTGCATTCTGCGGTACACCATTTGAAACAGTTTATATTCTGTCTATTTTCTGAGAAAGATATGACGAAATAATGAAGACCTTTTTTATAAATTTTTTATCGCCCATCCAATTTCCTTGACAGAAATGCCTTGCAGTAAAATTTCAAGTCTGCAAATTGAAACTGAAAAAAATCAATAATATATATCGAAATTGGACCATCACAGAGATCAAAAGCCGATAGAACACTGTAAAATAGGTATCCGCAATAGATACAACAATAGAATTATAGCTTAGTTCTATATGTCGATTTTTTTGTATACATCGCCAGCATCGGACAGTGGCAGGCAATATTTTACAGGAATTCGAGCCGAGTAGCAGCTGTTTTCCAATAATTTTTTTTTCAATCAGATAATATAGTTTTATGATATTATTTCCTAGCCTCCATGGCCTGACTAAACTCGTGTTGTCTGTGAGTAGTTTTAGTTGTTAAAATATTACGAAATTACCAGAATTTAAAAAATCGTGTCTTTGTGTGCGCGTGCGTGGGAAAAACGCGTATTTTCGAATGCAGCTATACGTCATCTCGTCCCCATCACCCCATGCTTGCTTGAGCAACGCTTGAACGTAAGGAGAATTTCAACATTGACATTTTGAACAAAACAGTATAACCTTTATAATATGTTTTCCTCAATCATAAAAGGATAAAAAGTCGTCTTATTTTGCTATGATCTATAATGTCATCGGGCAAATGATGAAAGTATAGCTCAAGAATCTTGCAAAACACTTGACTGCGCTTCGAGCTTTACAAGCCGAGTCTAATATTCTCCCAACTCTCTTCGTATCACGCCATATCGCCAACGAGATCCTTGAGTTTAATTAAGAGTTTTCAAAGCAAGCAAGCAAAAATAAAACCGCCCAAAGTCAAAAGAAAAACATTTAGGTATCATGTTTTAGCTGTCAGTTAAACATGCGGTTCTGTTTGCATTTTTCACTAGTATGAAAGGGAGTAACACGGAACAATTCAGGGCCAAAGGGGATTTTGAAGAATTGTGCATGTCACTATTCATACCGGACGTGTTATTTTTGAGGCTGGTTGGTTGCATTTCCAGAGTTATCTGAAGCAGATTTATTACCGAATTGCAATCCGTTAAACTGAACTGAGGATTTCATGCCCCCTTTGCTATTGGAAAGGGTAAGAGCGACAGCTGCTGCCCTCGGTTCAAGCGTACCTGGAGGGAATGCGAAAGTTCCTCCCCATTTAAGCACTTTACGGTTGACTCTTTCAACACTCGCTTCCACTGGATAAACTACGGTAATCGAGAAATGAAGATAAGCGAAAAAGAGATTACCTCAAGTCATAGCAGTCTCGGTTTGGCCCAAAAAATTGTACTCATCAGAAAAAAAATTAAAAATCCGTGCATGAGATGAGAAATATTTCACTTATCATATATTTCCGTAGTTAACTGTTATTCCTATCTAGCGATTGCGACATACGTTTAAGCCTTTTTTTTATTTAAAGGTCTCCATTGTTGTATGTCTTTATGATTTGTTTTCAGACATCATCTTCTTCAGGACATTTGGATATCCAATTGAAAGAGTATAAAAATCCAGACAGCAAGACAATGGCCGGTTCGTGCTGTGACGGGTGGTTTTCATGTGGCATCTGTGATCCATATTTTAAATTCAGTTTTCAAGGAGAAGAGAAGGATTTTCCTCTTCCAGATAACACCAAATCCAAAACATTTTCTACCAATGATGTTATTCGTTTTACATTTCAACGCTGGGTGGTAAGTCTCCGTTACTTCATCATTTTAGAAGTTAGGCCCAGTTCATACGTCGCATTTTGGTCGCGTCGAATCATTTCAAACAATAGATAATGAGATGATAATAAGCCTAAATGAGGTTTATCATCTCATTACGTATTGTTTGAATTTCATTCGACGCGACTAAAATGCGACTTATGAACTGGGCCTCAATCGCTATAACTCCCTGATATAGAGTACTGTATAACCTGTATAACCTGTATAACCTGTATAACCTGTATAACCTGTATAACCTGTATAACCTGTATAACTTGTATAACCTGTATAACCTGTATAACCTGTATAACCTGTATAACCTAACACTGCCGTTGTGGTTCGGTTGCGGTCGACTGATAGAAACCGCAGACGACCGAAACGGAAAAAATACGATCGCGGTTGCCGTTCGCTTCCGAACGAAATGTTATGAACAGCTGAGAACGACAACACAATAATCACATCGAAAACATCTTAAGAAATGTCTGTCAGAACGAGGTTCGACTGAGGTTCAACCTCGATCTCACCCAGGGCGCTTATATAGAATAAGATCTTATATTCTATATAAACGCCCTGGTCTCACCTTGGTTCAAGGTCAGACCGCGGTTTTCGTTAGGATATTCCTGGATATTACTGTAGAGAAGTTTTTCCTCATAAAACATATTGCAGTTTTAGTAATAACAAATATTAACTTTATAACATTGATATACATATCCTAGGCAATCTCGATCGTTTGTGCAAAACTAACAGTCCTTCGCTCACCCACCCCCCTCTCAAATGGAGACCGAGGGGATAAAAAGCAAGTTGAGAACAATAATTGTATATTTGTGTAATCTTGATTTTTAGTTTTACAAAAGCAAATTCTCTCGTTTGTATGATTGAATGTTTAAGGGTGATTTATGAGGTTCATGCCGTACCAATGTTGATGAATCTCATGAGGTTCTCTTTCCAATATGTAAAATGTTACATTGCGAATTATAGTCTGTTGATCTGATTGTATTTATTTAATTTTTATCTTTATCACTTACATTACGGCAGTGCATATCGATGATTTATGATGTATTTTTTTCGTTCGTCAATTTAGTCTAACGGAAAGCTTGCAGTGGAAATCTGGGATGATGATTCAACTTCTGGGGATGACAAGATTTATGAAAACAAAGAAACACTTCCAGGTCAAGCTGCCAAAGACCGTTCTTCAGCGACGGTCCATCCAGTTCATTTCCAAGACAAGTACACAACTTTCAAATTTAATATAAGAGTGTACTGTGACCCAGGCTACCTCGTCCCTGACTGCTCACAATATTGCACACCAACTAACGACAGCAGTGGTCATTATGATTGCGATTATAAAAATGGCTCCAAGATTTGTCATCCACATTGGTATGGTTCAAAATGCACAAAATACTGTCGCGAACATGTTGACAGCAACTACGTTTGCAACAAAACAACTGGTATGAAAATCTGCCATGAAAATTGGTTTGGATCTGATTGTACGGACTACTGTAAAAAGCAAAACCAATCCAGTGGTCATTATTTCTGTAACATGACCAGTGGTCAGAAGATTTGTTATCATGGTTGGTATGGTGTAGACTGTACCACACATTGCAACCCAACCAATGCCTCCACATACCTCTGTAATACCACAACTGGTGAAAAAATATGCAACTCAAGATGGTACGGAAGCAACTGTACAGTATTTTGCATTCCAAAGAACGATTCAACTGGTCATTACTCATGTAATCTGAAAACTGGTGAAAAGGTCTGTCTCCAACACTGGTTTGGAAAAAACTGCAGAAATCACTGCAAAGAACGTAACGATTCTAGTGGATCATATCATTGCAATAAAACAAATGGTTTAAAAATCTGTTATTCTAATTGGTTTGGACCAGAGTGCTCGACATATTGCAAAGAATCGAACGACACCAAATATGGGCGATATTCTTGTCACAACGTCACCGGTTCGAAAATTTGCCACAAGGAATGGTTCGGAAGAAACTGCACGACATTTTGCAAACCAAGGAATGACGCTACAGGACATTACAGTTGTAATCACACAACAGGTTTTAAGATTTGTCACAAACACTGGTTTGGGAAATCCTGTACAAATTACTGTAAAAACGAAAATGGTACTGCTGGGCATTATTCGTGTGAAAAGACAACTGGTTCTAAAATATGTCACAGGAACTGGTTTGGAATGAACTGTACCATCTATTGCAAATCAAAGAATGATTCATCAGGACATTACACATGTGATAAAGATTCTGGTTTGAAAGTTTGTCTTTCAGATTGGTATGGGAAAAACTGTCTGAATTATTGCAAAGCACAGAACGACACAAACGGTCATTACTTCTGTAATGGGACAAACGGTTCGAAGATTTGTTACCAGGACTGGTTTGGAAATAACTGTACGACGTTTTGTAGGGAAAAAAATGGTTCTTCTGGACATTATTTCTGTAACCAAAGTACAGGTTTCAAGATTTGTCACCGTCATTGGTACGGACGCCATTGCCAAATATATTGTAAACCACAAAATGACTCGAGAGGCCATTTTGTATGTAACAAAACAACTGGTTCCAAGATATGCCATTCAAACTGGTATGGGGCAAATTGTGAAATTTACTGCAAGGGAAAGGAGGATTCACGTGGACACTACAAGTGCGATAAGGCCACAGGACTTAAGATATGCCTTCAAAATTGGTTTGGAACTAACTGTAGAAGATATTGCAAGAAACAGAATGATGTAACTGGACATTATCACTGTAACCAAACAACAGGTTCTAAGATTTGCTATCCAGAATGGTTTGGAACAAACTGCACGACACATTGTAAAGAGAAAAACGATTCTACTGGACGTTATTCTTGTGATAAGGCTGATGGTTCTAAGATTTGTCATCTCAATTGGTTTGGAACTAACTGTAGAAGATATTGCAAACCAAGTAATGATTCAAATGGGAGTTACAACTGTAACAAAACAACTGGATTTAAGATTTGCCATTCACACTGGTTTGGAGATAACTGTACAAAATACTGCAAGGAAAACAACGATTCTAGTGGACATTATTCCTGTAATGAAGATTCTGGAATGAAAATTTGTCATCCACATTGGTTTGGAGACAATTGTGAAACATACTGCAAAGCAGAGAACAATACTGGCGAGCATTTCTACTGTAGTAAGACTGGTTCAAAGATATGTTATACAAACTGGTACGGACGATTGTGCAATGCATTTTGTGAAGAACGGAATAACTCGGCTGGTTATTACTTCTGCAATAAGACAAACGGAGAAAGAATATGTTACCGAAACTGGTTTGGAGAAAATTGTACGGAATATTGTAAGGAGCAAAATGATTCAGACGCACATTATTCCTGCAATGAGCTCACAGGTTCAAAGATTTGCCATAAAGATTGGTTTGGAACGAATTGCACACGGTTTTGCAAAGAAAGGAATGATTCTTTCGGGCATTTCTATTGCAACAAGACAAGCGGGTTGAAAATCTGCTATTCGAACTGGTTTGGTTCAAACTGTTCTGCATTTTGTGATGAAAAAAATGATTCGTTAGGACATTACTTCTGTAATACAACAACCGGGTTGAAAAATTGTCATCCAAATTGGTTCGGAATCAACTGTGAATCTTATTGTAAAGAAAGGAATGATTCATCTGGACATTATTCGTGTAACAGGACAAGTGGATTAAAAATTTGTCATCCAAACTGGTTTGGAATCGACTGTTTGACGTTTTGTGAAGAAACAGAGGATTCACCTGGTCATTACTCGTGCAACAAAAGCACGGGATTGAAGATTTGTAAACCATACTGGTTTGGAGCGGACTGTCAGAGATATTGCAAAGAAAGGAATGACTCTGCTGGGCATTATTCCTGCAACATGACAACTGGTTCCAGGATTTGCCATCCGCAATGGTTTGGAGTGAATTGCACAGCGTATTGTAAACCAGAAAATGCTTCAACAGGCCGTTATTTTTGTAATAACGAAACAGGAAATAAAGTCTGTCATCGAAATTGGTTTGGAACAAATTGTTCAACTTATTGTAAAGAACAGAATAATTCTAATGGACACTTTTATTGTAATAGGACAAACGGTTTGAAAATGTGTCATCCAAACTGGTTTGGAGCAAACTGTACAGCATATTGTAAAGCAAGGAATGATTCAACTGGACGTTACTACTGCGAAAAACAGACTGGTGGTAAGATTTGCCATCAACATTGGTACGGCATGAACTGCACAACGTATTGCAAACCAGAGAATGATTTGAAAAGCCATTTCTTCTGTGACAAGGAAACAGGAATAAAGATCTGTCTACCAAACTGGTTTGGAACTGACTGTTCAAAATTCTGCAAAGCACAGAACACTTCGACTGGCCACTATCGCTGTAATATAACAAACGGTTTCAAAATCTGTCATGCCCATTGGCTTGGTCCTGATTGCTCAGTCTATTGCAAGGAGTCAAATGATTCTGAATCCGGGTATTATTCATGCAAAAAGACAACAGGCTCGAAATTGTGTTACCCAGGATGGTTTGGGACTAACTGCACAACGTATTGTAAACCAATGAATGACTCTAATGGCCATTACCATTGCAAAAATACAAGCGGATCGAAGATCTGCCATACACATTGGTTTGGGGCTAACTGCACGAAATATTGTCATGAGCAGAATGACGGAACTGGCCATTATTCCTGTGATAAGGCAACTGGTTCAAAGATTTGCAACCGTAACTGGTTTGGTAGGAATTGCACTGTTCATTGCAAACCAAGGAGCGATTCAACAGGACACTACTTTTGTATAGAGAAAACTGGTTCGAAAGCATGTTATCCAAACTGGTTTGGCGCCAACTGCACAAAATATTGCAAGCAACAAAATGACAGCAATGGACATTATTATTGTAATGTTACTACAGGTTTGAAAATGTGTCATCCAAACTGGTATGGAACTAATTGTTCCACATATTGCAAGAATAGAAACGACTCTAATGGACATTACTCTTGTAATGAGACAACAGGCTTTAAAATCTGTCATCCAGAGTGGTTTGGAGATGATTGTACGACACACTGCAGAGAACAAAACGAAACATCTGGACAGTATAAATGTAATAAAACAACTGGAGTGAGGATCTGCAATTCTGACTGGTACGGAGCTGATTGTATAACATATTGTAAAGATGCTGAAAATTACTTTTGCGATAAGACGACAGGTTTAAAGATATGCAAACCCAATTGGTATGGAGTGGATTGTTCTCGTTTTTGCCAAGAAAGTCAGGAAGAATTTGGTGGTAATTATTTATGTAACATGTCAACTGGGCTGAAGTACTGCAAGCCTCATTGGTATGGGGTTAACTGCACAAATTATTGCAAGAAAAGCGATGATATTAATGGTCATTATTCCTGTAACAAGACAAGTGGTTGGAAGATCTGCCTACCAAACTGGTATGGCACTGACTGCACAACTCACTGCAAAGCAGACATCGAAGGACATTTTCTGTGCAATGAATCAAATGGGGAAAAAGTTTGTTTGGAAGACTGGTACGGACAGGAATGCAACATATACTGTAAGAGTGAAAATATGAGCAATGGACGTTATTTCTGTGACAAGACAAACGGTGAAAAGATTTGCTATCCAAATTGGTATGGAAGCAATTGTGATGTTTACTGCGATGATGAATCAACCGAAAGATACAAATGTGATGGAAAATCTGGTCTGAAGCTTTGCCATTCAAACTGGTTTGGCCTGAACTGTTCTGTATATTGCAAGGAAGAAGAGGGATCACATTTCACGTGCAACCCTGAAACAGGTTCACGGATTTGTCACGTGGAATGGTTTGGTGAAGATTGCACGCAGCACTGCAAACCTGATGAAAACCACCTCTGTAATAACATCACCGGATTGAAAATTTGTCGCAGTGAGCGGTCTGGCACTGATTGCTCGGAAAAAACTGCAAAGAGTTATGGCAGGAAAGGTCAACCAGAATATTTGAGGGTTGCTCTACCAGCAAGTGCAGGAATATTGGTGATAATTGTTATGCTAATTATTTTTGCATTTGTAAGGTAAATTACTTAAGTATTTCTTATAACTGTACAAGCTGGAAAGTAAGGCTAAAAAGTTAACAAAAAACTGCAATTTTAGGAGGCATGCAAGCATTAATATTTTATTCTTTTATCATTCAAGGAAAAGAAGAGCTCAACAAGTGTTCGGCGTTGTAAAACCGCAGGAAAATAAGCTCTACATGGAATCGGCGATTTAAAATCTTCGACGGTGAGAATTCTTGAATCAAATATCATCATATATTGTTCAATCTAACATATACTTTTCAAAATCCAAAATCTATATCGACTGTATATCTATATGCCCACGGCCAAGCACCACAAATCAGTGGACACAAACCCGTCATCATTCCCGAGTAATTATCCTTGAGAGACACTAGTATGTTTGATGTAGCTATAAGCCTATAATCCTATGGCATTGTTAATTCTAGAATATAATAATTTCTTTGCAGATGCCAAGAGCAAAGAGAGTATGATTTATGTTTGTATTTCATTCAATTCTATTTTATTATAGCATTATGATATTATAAATTGACTGTAAATTATTGAAGTCATCCTATTTAATACCACTGATAAAAAGACTAAAGCCTGGTTTTGACAACACCTACAATAACCTCGTTCCCAGGATAAAAAACCTGGCTTGCGCGGTTGCGCCTGCGGTACTCGACAAATGGCAGATGTGAAATAGGCCAGGTTTACCTTCGCGCAGTATATGCAAATCATTCTTCACTATACATAGTGAGACTCTTTAATCAGCCACTTGTCGATGTGGCGGGAAGCAACAATAGTGATGGAAACCAGGTTTAAATTGTGGGCCAACATAATTGAAGGACGATTTTTGAATTTTGACGAAGCCAACTGTTTGACGTTGGAGTATAAATGTAAATAAATAAATAGTTATATAATTTCATCGCAGTATAGACGGTAAATGTGACGTTACAAATTTTGAATTAGAATTTACTTCCAAAAAGAAAACGCCATTGTACTTCGGCGTGAAGTTTTTGTTTTTTGCTAACAAGCAATTATATTAAACTTGCCTTCATTGACGCGGCGATAATAATTAATATATGGCTATACCATATCCCCCAAGGTCAAGGCTGAAATCACTACCTCAGTGTCCCTGGAGAGTTTAAGACATTTAAGAAATCCAATTATTCTCTTGATTGGGAAATATTGAAGAGAAAGTACACGAATATATACATGCAAGCACACGCATGCGTATATATGCTGAATGTACATCTATATATGTGATAATTTTATACATATATAAATGTACAGTATACCCATAATACAATTCAGTTTTGTATAATTATACTTCAGTCTTAACACAGTTCTTGAACAGAAAATATTTTGAACTCACTTTACTCAGTGATGATATAAAGATTGAATTTCGTATATTTTTATTGAAAAACGATTAAGTTTAAATTTGAATCTTGTTCATGCCACGCACAACCGGCCTAAACGCGAAATGATGTTGTGAACGGTCAAGTGGAGCACTTCGGTCGACCTCTCAAAACTGGAATGAAAATCGAGTGAAAACGTCTGCCTCTTAGAAGACCAGTTTTTCAATCTAATTTACAATTCCTTTGGTGATCTTCTTTAAAAAATACTTTGCCTCACAGTAAAAAATAAAATTAATCGTTGAATATCTGGGATTGGGAAACTAATCGTTGAGACCGCGATTTAGGTCTGTTTCAAACTTGTCCTATTCCAATCGGGGATTTCCAAGCATTTGCCTGTGATCAACGTGGTGCACAAAATAATGTATTTGTAAGTAAACGATATTATTAATGGGATATCCAATTCCCAAGACAAGGGTGAATCAAGGTCAATGAAATAATGGAGAATAATGCATGTCAATTAAGGAATCTGACCGTACGAGTTTGTACCCTTTGCTTGGCTATATTATATTGTGTATTGTTTGACCTTCACCTTATTCATGCAAAGTTAAAACATACTATATAAGCAATGATTATCAGCTGTATATTAAAAAAAACGAGAGGCTGGTTTCCAAAATATATCTCTGAAATTGATACGACACCAAACATCCTTCATAGACAAAGCGTTTCCGTGACAGTCGTCCGAAAACGAACGTCGAGAGATGAGATTAAGGCATTATATAAAAAGCAAGCTTTGACGCTGACGGTATCAAATGCCTAAATCTGCTTGAATTAGATAATAGTCCCTCATATGGTTTGCATTTCTTTAATTTGTGTGGTTATTTTCTTTGACCAAACATAGAGGACGTTATATATATTTATGTGTCTGACGAAAGTAAATTCGCCTTTCTTGTTTTAACAGAACTTTATAGTTTGTTGCGTAAACCTTTAAAAAATCTTTTCTTGCGTGTCTAAGCATGCGAAAACCCGAATTTGCTGTTGCAAAGCAGCCTCAGATGTCGTCTTACAAATATATTTCGTAATGACAACCTACATATCCTATATATGCGCTTGTCCAAATTTAATTTTGTTTTCGTTGGTTGTATCAAATGCTCTATTTACAACAGGAAATAAATTTTAACAGCGCCAGGGGACATCGTGGGATCCAATGGGCTATAATTTGAAACACGAAAAATACATTCTGTACCTCAGCTCCGAACTTCGCTAAACTTAACCGACTGGGATCTGAAGAGATTGACATGCACGGACTAATAAAAAGGGAAAAACGTATCGTTTACAATTATCGCTGCTTTGCATTTCAAATAAAATTTCGGCTGGTACAACTCTACGAATCGTACGAGAGTTCTTCTTTTGCCATTTGGGACCAAGTCTAAGAGTATTTTATTTCTATAAAAGACGAATTCGCAAGAATGAAGTCATCGATAAGAATGTTTGTTAAACTCATATTTTTTCTCCCGTTTTTGAAGGTAGGTCGACTTTTTCTGCAGGATGTATAGGCTAATTATATATTGAAGTACATAACGTGTGTCTAAAGATACGTATTTTACATGTCACTGATCATGAGAAGTCTGGCTGGTAGTTTACATAAATATATACATTACCGCGCGCAGATTGACGACTTTCTGGAAAGCGTGAACAGGCACGCACAACTTGATTGTAAACGATTTCTCCAGTCTGAAGAGTTCATTAGAATGACATACTAGAATGTAACTTGTAGTATAGGAGAAAATGTGAAAGTGCAAATGAATGAAACATGAAAATAAGAAAATGTGTATGCATGCAATATGTCTAAACATTGCGCCTATATTTCAAAGATTTCCGACGGATTGTCACCTTTGTGAACAGAATTATAAAATACCACTCAACTTTCTTCTGCTATATGGCTCAAATTTCTCCGGGCAACAATTTAGCGTCTAAAATATATATTATCCAAACAAGCAATTGAATGGCAAATGGTTCTTCGTTGGTGGTAAAAAAAAGCTTCAAAAAAACACTTGCAGATCTTAATGCTTCTATAATTATTACCCAATCTCCACGGTGTAAGCAAATGCGATTTAATTTTCTTTTACATGATAGAATTAGACATAATCAAATTTCCTTTTGTGTACGAAGACAGATTACTTTCAAGAATGAAATCGAAAAACCACAAATTGTCTTAAATTATAAACCGTCCCGAGAGCAGTTAAAATTTTTGTTACTCGTAGTAATTAATTTTCAAAGAGTCAAAGAGTCATAATCATGAACCTATTTAATACGGTGCTCACTGAAATAACTGAATATTCTACATGACTAGATCTTCCAGAAATATTAAGAAATCTCATTATATTAGAAATTATAAAAGAAATCTCAACGCTCTTTTATTTGGATCAGCTATTTGTAAAAAGGGTGCATGTATCTCTCAAAATCTTTTTTAGACATCATCTTCCTCAGGACATTTGGATATCCAATTGAAAGAGTATAAAAACCCAGAGAGCAGGACAATGGACGATTCGTGTTGTGATCTCTTGTGGTGGGGTTCATGTGGCATCTGTGATCCGTATTTTAAGTTCAGTTTTCAAGGGAAAGAGAAGAAGATTTCTCTTCCAGATAACACCGTGTCAAAAACATTTTCTACCAATGATGTTATCCGTTTTACATTTCAACGGTGGTTGGTAAGTATCCAACATATCTCAACCCAACAAGCAAATTCTACGTATGTAAATGAACGTCATAATACTCATAGGCAGGGGGGCCGCGGTAAAATTCCTATGGGGGCCCAAAATCCACTGCAAAAAACGCCATATTAAGTTCATGTAAATTTGTACTATTGTAATATGATAATGCACGGCCTGATCCTTGAGAGGTGTAAGAAAGGTAAATTTCGGGGGATAAACCACTGTTGAGGGCATCCTCCCCCAAGAAAATTTTGAACTTTTAGAGAGCAAAATGCAAATTTTCTGCGTTTTGGGGGTGAGATTTTTGAATTTATATTGCATTACCTGAACTAAAAATAACCGAAAACCCTGCTCATGGACACTAACTGGTTCTACAAAGTTCACCTCAGCCATTTAATTAAGCTAACAACTAAGTTTATTCCGTTTCCCTGTTTAGTATAATAGCTATAATAATTTTTCTGTCTTTATTAAATAACTTAGTCTAACCTAAGACTTGCAGTGGAAATCTGGGATAATGATGATGGATCTTTTCGAGCCGACGATAAGATTTACGAAAACAAAGCAACACTTCCAGGTCAAGCTGCCGAAGACCGTTCTTCAGCGACGGTCCATCCAGTTAATTTCCAAGGAACGTACACAACTTTCAAATTTAATATAAGAGTATACTGTAACCCAGGCTACCTCGTCCCTGACTGCTCAGAATATTGCACACCAACTAACGACAGCAATGGTCATTATGATTGCGATTACAAAAATGGCTCCAAGATTTGTCATCCACATTGGTATGGTTCAAAATGCACGAAATACTGTTGCGAACATGTTGACAGCAACTACGTTTGCAATAAAACAACTGGTATGAAAATCTGCCATGAAAATTGGTTTGGATCAGATTGTAAGGACTACTGCAAAAAGCAAAACCAATCCAGTGGTCATTATTTCTGCAACATGACCAGTGGTCAGAAGATTTGCTATCCTGGTTGGTATGGTGTGAACTGTACCACACATTGCAACCCAACCAATACCTCCACATACCTCTGTAATACCACAACTGGTGAAAAAATATGCAACCCACGATGGTACGGAAGCAACTGTACAATATTTTGCAATCCAAAGAATGATTCATCAGGACATTACACATGTGATACAGATTCTGGTTTGATAGTTTGTCTTTCAGATTGGTATGGGAAAAACTGTTTGAATTATTGCAAAGAACAAAACGATACAAGCGGTCATTATTTTTGTAATGGGACAAACGGTTCGAAGATTTGTTACCAGGACTGGTTTGGAAATAACTGTACGACGTTTTGTAGGGAACAAAATGGTTCTTCAGGACATTATTTCTGTAACCAAAGTACAGGTTTCAAGATTTGTTATCGTCATTGGTACGGACGCCATTGCCAAATATATTGCAAACAACAAAATGACCCAAGAGGCCATTTTATATGTAACAAAACAACTGGTTCCAAGATATGCCATGCAAACTGGTACGGGGAAAATTGTGAAATTTACTGCAAGAGAAAGAACGATTCAAGTGGACACTACACGTGCGATAAGACCACAGGACTTAAGATATGCCTTCAAAGTTGGTTTGGAACTAACTGCACAAGATATTGCAAGAAACAGAATGATGTAACTGGACATTATCACTGCAACCAAACAACAGGTTCTAAGATTTGCTATCCAGAATGGTTTGGAATAAACTGCACGACACATTGTAAAGAGAAAAACGATTCTACCGGACGTTATTCTTGTGATAAGGCTGATGGTTCTAAGATTTGTCATTCTAATTGGTTTGGAACTAACTGTAAAAGATATTGCAAGAAACAGAATGATGTAACTGGACATTATCACTGTAACCAAACAACAGGTTCTAAGATTTGCTATCCAGAATGGTTTGGAACAAACTGCACGACACATTGTAAAGAGAAAAACGATTCTACCGGACGTTATTCTTGTGATAAGGCTGATGGTTCTAAGATTTGTCATTCTAATTGGTTTGGAAGTAACTGTAAAAGATATTGCAAGAAACAGAATGATGTAACTGGACATTATCACTGTAACCAAACAACAGGTTCTAAGATTTGCTATCCAGAATGGTTTGGAACAAACTGCACGATACATTGTAAAGAGAAAAACGATTCCACCGGACATTATTCTTGTGATAAGGCTGATGGTTCTAAGATTTGTCATCTCAATTGGTATGGCACTAACTGTAGAAGATATTGCAAGAAACAGAATGATGTAACTGGACATTATCACTGTAACCAAACAACAGGTTCTAAGATTTGCTATCCAGAATGGTTTGGAACAAACTGCACGACACATTGTAAAGAGAAAAACGATTCTACCGGACATTATTCTTGTGATAAGGCTGATGGTTCTAAGATTTGTCATCTCAATTGGTCTGGAACTAACTGTACAAGTTATTGCAAACCAAGTAATGATTCAAATGGGAGTTACAACTGTAACAAAACAACTGGATTTAAGATTTGCCATTCACATTGGTTTGGAGATAACTGTACAAAATACTGCAAAGAAAACAACGATTCTAGTGGACATTATTCCTGTAATGAAGATTCTGGAGTGAAAATTTGTCATCCACATTGGTTTGGAGACAATTGTAAAACATACTGCAAAGCAGAAAACGCTACTGGCGAGCATTTTTACTGTAATAAGACTGGTTCAAAGATATGTTATACAAACTGGTACGGACGATTGTGCAATGTATTTTGTGAAGAACGGAATAACTCGGCTGGTTATTACTTCTGCAATAAAACGAACGGGGAAAGAATATGTTACCGAAATTGGTTTGGAGAAAATTGTACGGAATATTGTAAGGAGCAAAATGATTCGGACGCACATTATTCCTGCAATGAGCTCACAGGTTCAAAGATTTGCCATAAAGATTGGTTTGGAATGAATTGCACACGGTTTTGCAAAGAAAGGAATGATTCTTTCGGGCATTTCTATTGCAACAAGACAAGCGGGTTGAAAATCTGCTATTCGAACTGGTTTGGTTCAAACTGTTCTATATTTTGTGATGATAAAAGCGATTCGTCAGAACATTACTTCTGTAATAAAACAACCGGGTTGAAATATTGTCATCCAAATTGGTTCGGAATCAACTGTGAATCTTATTGTAAAGAAAGAAATGATTCATCTGGACATTATTCGTGTAACAGGACAAGTGGATTAAAAATTTGTCATCCAAACTGGTTTGGAATCGACTGTTTGACGTTTTGTGAAGAAACAGAGGATTCACCTGGTCATTACTCGTGCAACAAAAGCACGGGCTTGAAGATTTGTAAACCATACTGGTTTGGAGCGGACTGTCAGAGATATTGCAAAGAAAGGAATGACTCTGCTGGGCATTATTCCTGCAACATGACAACAGGTTCCAGGGTTTGTCATCCGCAATGGTTTGGAGTGAATTGCACAGCGTATTGTAAGCCACAAAATGCTTCAACAGGCCGTTATTTTTGTAATAACGAAACAGGAAATAAAATCTGTCATCGAAATTGGTTTGGAACAAACTGTTCAACTTATTGTGAAGAGCAGAAAAATTCTAATGGACACTTTTATTGTAATAGGACAAACGGTTTGAAAATGTGTCATCCAAACTGGTTTGGAGCAAACTGTACAGCATATTGTAAAGCAAGGAATGATTCAACTGGACGTTACTACTGCGAAAAACAGACTGGTGGTACGATTTGCCATCAACATTGGTACGGCATGAACTGCACAACGTACTGCAAACCAGAGAATGATTTGAAAAGCCATTTCTCCTGTGACAAGGAAACAGGAATAAAGATCTGTCTACCAAACTGGTTTGGAACCGACTGTTCAAAATTCTGCAAAGCACAAAATGCTTCGACTGGCCACTATCGCTGTAATATAACAAACGGTTTCAAAATCTGTCATCGCTATTGGCTTGGCCCTGATTGCTCAGTCTATTGTAAGGAGTCAAATGATTCTGAATCTGGGTATTATTCGTGCGAAAAGAAGACAGGCTCGAAATTGTGCTACCCAGGATGGTTTGGGACTAACTGCACAACGTATTGTAAACCAATGAATGACTCTAATGGCCATTACCATTGCAAAAATACAAGCGGATCGAAGATCTGCCATACACATTGGTTTGGGGCTAACTGCACGAAATATTGTCATGAGCAGAATGACGGAACTGGCCATTATTCCTGTGATAAGGCAACTGGTTCAAAGATTTGCAACCGTAACTGGTTTGGTAGGAATTGCACTGTTCATTGCAAACCAAGGAGCGATTCAACAGGACACTACTTTTGTATAGAGAAAACTGGTTCGAAAGCATGTTATCCAAACTGGTTTGGCGCCAACTGCACAAAATATTGCAAGCAACAAAATGGCAGCAATGGACATTATTATTGTAATGTTACTACAGGTTTGAAAATGTGTCATCCAAACTGGTATGGAACTAATTGTTCCAAATATTGCAAGAATAGCAACGACTCTAACGGACATTACTCTTGTAATGAGACAACAGGCTTTAAAATCTGTCATCCAGAGTGGTTTGGAGATGACTGTACGATACATTGCAGAGAACAAAACGAAACACCTGGACAGTATAAATGTAATAAAACAACTGGAGTGAGGATCTGCAATTCTGACTGGTACGGAGCTGATTGTATAACATATTGTAAAGATGCTGAAAATTACTTTTGCGATAAGACGACAGGTTTAAAGATATGCAAATCCAATTGGTATGGAGTGGATTGTTCTCGTTTTTGCCAAGAAAGTCAGGAAGAATTTGGTGGTAATTATTTATGTAACAAGACAACTGGGCTGAAGTACTGCAAGCCTTATTGGTATGGGGTTAACTGCACAAATTATTGCAAAAAAAGCGATGATATTAATGGTCATTATTCCTGTAACAAGACAAGTGGTTGGAAGATCTGCCTACCTAACTGGTATGGTACTGACTGCACAATTCACTGCAAAGCAGGCATCGAAGGACATTTTCTGTGCAATGAATCAAATGGGGAAAAAGTTTGTTTGGAGGACTGGTACGGACAGGAATGCAACATATACTGTAGGAGTGAAAATGTGAGCAATGGACGTTATTTCTGTGACAAGACAAACGGTGAAAAGATTTGCTATCCAAATTGGTATGGAAGCAATTGTGATGTTTACTGCGATGATGAATCAACCGAAAGATACAAATGTGATGGAAAATCTGGTCTGAAGCTTTGCCATCCAAACTGGTTTCGCCTGAACTGTTCTGTATATTGCAAGAAAGAAGAGGAATCACATTTCACGTGCAACCCTGAAACAGGTTCACGGATTTGTCACGTGGAATGGTTTGGTGAAGATTGCACGCAGCACTGCAAACCTGATGAAAACCACCTCTGTAATAACATCACCGGATTGAAAATTTGTCGCAGTGAGCGGTCTGGCACTGATTGCTCGGAAAAAACTGCAAAGAGTTATGGCAGGAAAGGTCAACCAGAATATTTGAGGGTTGCTCTACCAGCAAGTGCAGGAATATTGGTGATAATTGTTATGCTAATTATTTTTGCATTAGTAAGGTAAATTACTTAAGTATTTCTTATAACTGTACAAGCTGGAAAGTAAGGCTAAAAAGTTAACAACAAACTGCAATTTTAGGAGGCATGCAAGCATTAATATTTTATTCTTTTATCATTCAAGGAAAAGAAGAGCTCAACAAGTGTTCGGCGTTGTAAAACCGCAGGAAAATAAGCTCTACATGGAATCGGCGATTTAAAATCTTCGACGGTGAGAATTCTTGAATCAAATATCATCATATATTGTTCAATCTAACATATACTTTTCAAAATCCAAAATCTATATCGACTGTATATCTATATGCCCACGGCCAAGCACCACAAATCAGTGGACACAAACCCGTCATCATTCCCGAGTAATTATCCTTGAGAGACACTAGCATGTTTGATGTAGCTATAATCCTATGGCATTGTTAATTCTAGAATATAATAATTTCTTTGCAGATGCCAAGAGCAAAGAGTATGATTTATGTTTGTATTTCATTCAATTCTATCTTATTATAGCATTATGATATTATAAATTGACTGTAAATTATTGAAGTCATCCTATTTAATACCACTGATAAAAAGACTAAAGCCTGGTTTTGACATCACCTACAATAACCTCGTTCCCAGGATAAAAAACCCGGCTTGCGAGGTTGCGCCTGCAGTACTCGACAAATGGCAGATGTGAAATAGGCCAGGTTTACCTTCGCGCAGTATATGCAAATCATTCTTCACTATACATATAGTGACACTCTTTAATCAGCCACTTGTCGATGTGGCGGGAAGCAACAATAGTGATGGAAACCAGGTTTAAATTGTGGGCCAACATAATTGAAGGACAATTTTCGAATTTTGACGAAGCCAACTGTTTGACGTTGGAGTATAAATGTAAATAAATAAATAGTTATATAATTTCATCGCAGTATAGACGGTAAATGTGACGTTACAAATTTTGAATTAGAATTTACTTCCAAAAAGAAAAAGCCATTGTTCTTCGGCGTGAAGTTTTTGTTTTTTGTTGACAAGCAATATTAAACTCGCCTTTATTGACACGGCGATAATAATTAATATAGCTACCATATCCCTCCAAGGTCAAGGCTAAAATCACTACCTCAGTGTCCCTGGAGAGTTAAAGACATTAAAGAAATCCAATTATTCTCTTGATTAGGAAACATTGAAGAGAAAGTACACGAATATATACATGCAAACACACGCATGCGTATATGCTGAATGTACATCTATATATGTGATAATTTTATACATATATAAATGTACAGTATACGCATAATACAATTCAGTTTTGTATAATTATACTTCAGTCTCAACAAAGTTCTTGAACCGAAACTATTTTGAACTCACTTTACTCAGTGATGATATAAAGATTGAATTTCGTATATTTTTATTCAAAAACGATTAAGTTTAAATTTGAATCTTGTTCATGCCATGCACAACCGGCCTAAACGCGAAATGATGTTGTGAACGGTCAAGTGGAGCACTTCGGTCGACCTCTCAAAATTGGAATGAAAATCGAGTGAAAACGTCTACCTCGTGGAAATCCAGCCTTTGGTAATTTTCTTTAAAAAATACTTTGCCTCACAGTAAAAAATAAAATTAATCGTTGAATATTTGGGATTGGGAAACTAATCGTTGAGACCGCGATTTAGGTCTGTTTCAAACTTGTCCTATTCCAATCGGGGATTCCCAAGCATGCATTTGCCTGTGATCAAAGCGGTGCACAAAATACTTTATCTGTAAGTAAACGATATTGTTAATGGGATATCCAATTCCCAAGACAAGTGTGAATCAAGGTCAATGAAATCATGGAGAATAATGCATGTCAATTAAGGAATCTGACCGTACGAGTTTGTACCCTTTGCTTGGCTGTATTTATATTATATTGTGTATAATTGTTTGACCTTCACCTTATTCATGCAAAGTTAAAACATATACTATATAAGCAATGATTATCAGCTGTATAATAAAAAAAACGAGAGGGAGAACATATGGTTTCCGATATATATCTGAAATTGATACGACACCAAACATGAAACATCCTTTATAAACAAAGCATTTCTTTGACTACCGTCCGAAAATGAACATCGAAAGATAAGATACCGATATTATATAAAAAGCAAGCTTTATAAAGAAACTATAAATTGACGTGGATAGCTCACAGTAGATCTGTCAAAAAAGATCGGATAAACGGCACGAAAGATCTTACTCTTTGTGATACCGGACGAAATAAATTGGAATTTAAAAAGCAATTTTACACCAATATAGCATTAACATTTTCTAACGCTATCAAATGCCTTTATTAGTTAACTGTTTGAATTGGATAATAGTCCCTCATATGGTTTGCATTTCTTTAATTTGTGAAGTTATTTTCTTTCACCAAACATGGAGGACGTTATATTATATTTATGTGTCTGACGAAATGCTAAATTCGCCTTTCTTGTTTTAACAGAACTTTATAGTTTGTTGCGTAAACTTTTAAAAAATATTTTCTTGCGTGTCTAAGCATGCGAAAACCCGAATTTGCTGTTGCAAAGCAGACTCAGATGTCGTCTTACAAATATATTTCGTAATGACAACCTATATATCCTATTATATGCGCTTGTCCAAATTTAATTTTGTTTTCTTTGGTTGTATCAAATGCTCTATTCACAACAGGAAATGAATTTTAACAGCGCCAGGGGACATCGTGGGATCCAATGGGCTATAATTTGAAACACGAGAAATACATTCTGACACTCAGCTCCGATTTTCGTTAAATTTCACCGACTGAGATAATAAGGGGTTGACACGGACTAATACGAAGGGAAAAAAACGTCCCGTTTACAAAAATCGTCGCTTTGCATTTGAAATGAAATTTGGGCTGGTACAACTCTACGAATCGTACGAGAGTTCTTCTTTTGCCATTTCGGACCAAGTCTAAGAGTATTTTATTTTTATCAAAGACGAATTCGCAAGAATGAAGTCATCGACAAGAGTGTTTGTTAAACTCATATTTTTTCTCCCCTTTTTGAAGGTAGGTCGACTTTTTCTGCAGGATGTATAATTATATATTGAAGTATACATAACGTGTGTCCGGGAGATGTCTGAAGATATACCTATTTTACATGTCATTGAGATGTCTGGTGCATGGGCATTTACATAAATATATACATTACAGCGCGCAGATTGACGACTTTCTGGAAAGCGTGAATAGCCCGCGCAACGTGACTGTAAACGATTTCTCCAGTCTGCATGAAGAGTTATTAGAATGACATACTAGAATGTAACTTGTAGTCGAGAAGAAAATGTGAAAGTGCAAATGAATGGAACATGAAAATAAGTGTATGCATGCAGCATGTCTAAACATTGCGCAAATTTCAAAGATTTCCGACGGACTGTCATCTTTGTGAACAGAATTATAAAATACCACTCAACTTTCTTCTGCTATATTGCTCAAATTTCTCCGGGCAACAATTTCGCGTCTAAAATATATATTATCTAAACAAGCAATTGAATGGCAAATGGTTCTTCGTTGGTGCTAAAATAAAGTTTCGAAATACACTTGCGGATCTTAATGCTTCTATAATTATCACCCAATCTTCACGGTGTAAGCAAATGCGATTTAAATTTTTTTACGAGATAGAATTAGACATAATCAAATTTCCTTTAGTGTACGAAGACAGATTGCTTAAAGGATGAAATTGAAAAACCACAAATTGTCCCGAGATCGGTTAAAATTTTTGTTACTCGTAGTAATTAATTTGCCATTCATCTTTGATGATAGCCGACTGCATGAAATGACCTTGAAAGGCCGAAAATTTGGCAGCCAGTTATTTATGTTATGTATCATAATTCAGGAGAAAACTACAACACCTGGCCCTAAAGTGCTTAAAGAAAATTCGAGCGCAATTTTATACCCAAGATGATTTAATTCCACGCCATTTGCAGGCGTTAAAATATTATTTTATTTTTACGCGGAGAAGGACAACGGGGTGTCTTCGTACTATTTACGCACGAGGCATTTGGTACTTAGCTATTAAATATAGGATAATCTGGTACTTTGTATCAATTTTCGTGAAGATAAGTGCCACATCTCCTTGAAACGAGACTAAATAATGATACCTATTGAATATGCAGGTTGGCTCTTATCGAAATTTTCGAATATTTTGTTATTCAAAATATAATATATTCCAATCTACATTTAAACTTACTATATGCAGTTTATGCTGCGACGCTAAAGGTGACTACATCCTCAGGGCATACTCCGTATAAAACACTTGTACGACAATGGTCTGTAGCTTTTTTATGTCGCAAAATCTTGGCGTGTGCACATCAAAAAACGTGTCTCGTTTAACTTTTTTTATTTCCTATGGTTCTTACAATGCTTTGACAAAATTGTTAGTTTCAAATTATAAAAATCAATTACAATTTTTGTAAAACTATTAAATGGCAAGTTAGGCATTTGAGGCTTTTTTGTACCGTCAATATTATTAACCGGTTTAATTTTGACTGAGGTTTCAGTCTGTTATGCAAATTTAACTAGCCATGTGTATATATGAGCTAGCGTATACCCCAGATGCTTTTACTGACGGATGGTCACGGATCCGTACAATGCACCGAGCCGGTATTTACAAAAGTTGATTGGATCGAAATAACTTCTTATACGAGCTTATATGCGTTTCTAATAGTAAAATACAAATTTCCAGTCGTCCAAGCTTCAAAGGGTCATCATAATCATGAACCAATTTAATACGGTGTTTACTGAAATAACTGAAAGTTCTAGAGCTAATCTCCACGATCGAAGTGTCCCAAAATAGTAAGGGAAAAGTTTTTTTCATGATCAGAAAAATCGAGTGTGCTGGAAAGGGAAATTTTTTAACAGCTGACGCTAAGAAAAGCAAGACTGATTCGACCGATCTATGCTTTCGTGTTATTAATCTTATTATAAAAGAAATCTTAATGTCCTTTTATTAGGATCGGCTATTAGTAAAAAGCCTCTCCTCGGATAGAGTTTCTGTATCTCGAGCTGTATCTCTCAAGATCTCTTTCTTTCAGGTATCTTCTTCCTCGGGACGTTTGGATATCCAATTGAAAGAGTATAAAAACCCAGACAGCAAGACAATGGGCGGTTCGTGTTGTGACTTTTCACTCTCTCTCTGGTCATGTGGCATCTGTGATCCGTATTTTAAATTCAGTTTTCAAGGGAAAGAAGAGAAGATTTCCCTTCCAGATGACACCGCAACAAAAACATTTTCTACCAATGATGTTATCCGTTTTACATTTCAACGCTGGTTGGTAAGTTTCCTACATATCTCAATCCGACAAGCAAATTCTACGTATGTAAGTGACGTCGTAACCAGTCATAAGTCACTCATGGGCGCCAACTTGGTTAGTTCTACAAAGTTCACTTTGGCAATTTAAGCTAACAACTAAGTTTATCCACCCTTTCTTTGTTTATTTTGTACCTGGCTCCTATGTTTGCCGTACGAAAACGCCGATTTAAATAGTTATAATAATATATCTGTTTTCATTAAATAATTTAGTCTAACCAAAGACTTTCCGTGGAAATCTGGGATGATGATGGATCTAGTGATGACAAGATTTATGAGAACACAGCAACACTCCCAGGTCAAGCTGCCGAAGACCGTTCTTCAGCGACGGTTCATCCAGTTCATTTCCAAGGAACGTACACAACTTTCAAATTTAATATAAGAGTATACTGTGACCCAGGCTACCTCGTCCCTGACTGCTCAGAATATTGCAGACCAACTAACGACAGCAATGGTCATTATGATTGCGATTATAAAAATGGCTCCAAGATTTGTCATCCACATTGGTATGGGTCAAAATGCACGAAATACTGTCGTGAACATGTTGACAGCAACTACGTTTGTAATAAAACAACTGGTATGAAAATCTGCCATGAAAATTGGTTTGGATTAGACTGTAGGGACCACTGCAAAAAGCAAAATCAATCCAGTGGTCATTATTTCTGCAACATGACCAGTGGTCAGAAGATTTGTTATCCTGGTTGGTATGGTGTGAGCTGTACCACACACTGCAACCCAACCAATGCCTCCTCATACTTCTGTAATATCACAACTGGTGAAAAAATATGCAACCCACGATGGTACGGAAGCAACTGCGCAATATTTTGCAATCCAAAGAATGATTCAAATAGTCATTATTCTTGTAACGAAACAACTGGCTCAAAAAATTGTCACCAGCACTGGTTTGGGAAATCCTGTACAAATTACTGTAAAGCCGAAAATAGTACTGCTGGGCATTATTCGTGTGAAAAGACAACTGGTTCTAAAATATGTCACAGGAACTGGTTTGGAATGAACTGTACCATCTATTGCAAGCCAAAGAATGATTCATCAGGACATTACACATGTGATAAAGATTCTGGCTTGATAGTTTGTCTTTCAGATTGGTATGGGAAAAACTGTTTAAATTATTGCAAAGCACAGAACGACACAAGCGGTCATTATTTTTGTAATGGGACAAACGGTTCGAAGATTTGTTACCAGGACTGGTTTGCGGATAACTGTACGACGTTTTGTAGGGAACAAAATGGTTCTTCTGGACATTATTTCTGTAACCAAAGTACAGGTTTCAACATTTGTCATCGTCATTGGTACGGACGTCATTGCCAAATATATTGCAAACAACAAAATGACTCAAGAGGCCATTTTGTATGTAACAAAACAACTGGTTTCAAGATATGCCATGCGAACTGGTACGGGGCAAATTGTGAAATTTACTGCAAGAGAAAGGACGATTCAAGTGGACACTACAAGTGCGATAAGGCCACAGGACGTAAGATATGCCTTCAAAATTGGTTTCGAACGAACTGCACAAGATATTGCAAGAAACAGAATGATGTAACTGGACATTATCACTGTAACCAAACAACAGGTTCTAAGATTTGCTATCCAGAATGGTTTGGAACCAACTGCACGACACATTGTAAAGAGAAAAACGATTCTACCGGACGTTATTCTTGTGATAAGGCTGATGGTTCTAAGATTTGTCATTCTAATTGGTTTGGAGCTTACTGTAGAAGATATTGCAAGAAACAGAATGATATAACTGGACATTATCACTGTAACCAAACAACAGGTTCTAAGATTTGCTATCCAGAATGGTTTGGAACAAACTGCACGACACATTGTAAAGAGAAAAACGATTCTACCGGACGTTATTCTTGTGATAAGGCTGATGGTTCTAAGATTTGTCATTCTAATTGGTTTGGAACAAACTGCACAAGATATTGCAAGAAACAGAATGATGTAACTGGACATTATCACTGTAACCAAACAACAGGTTCTAAGATATGCTATCCAGAATGGTTTGGAACAAACTGCACGACACATTGTAAAGAGAAAAACGATTCTACCGGACGTTATTCTTGTAATAAGGCTGATGGTTCTAAGATTTGTCATTTTAATTGGTTTGGAACTAACTGTAGAAGATATTGCAAGAAACAGAATGATGTAACTGGACATTATCACTGTAACCAAACAACAGGTTCTAAGATTTGCTATCCAGAATGGTTTGGAACAAACTGCACGACGCATTGTAAAGAGAAAAACGATTCTACCGGACGTTATTCTTGTGGTAAGGCTGATGGTTCTAAGATTTGTCATCCCAACTGGTATGGCACTAACTGTAGAAGATATTGCAAACCAAGTAATGATTCAAATGGAAGTTACAACTGTAACAAAACAACTGGATTTAAGATTTGCCATTCACATTGGTTTGGAGATAACTGTAGGATATATTGTAAAGAAAATGATGAATATAATGGCTATTACTATTGTAATCGGACAACTGGCTCAAAAATATGTCAGAAGAACTGGTATGGAATGCATTGCAATTTATTTTGCAAAGAACAAAATGATTCTGACGGTGTTTATTTTTGCAATAAGACGACAGGGCAAAAGATTTGTAATCCAAACTGGTTTGGACTTAATTGCACGAAATACTGTAAGGAGCAGAATGATTCGCGTGGACATTATTTCTGCAATGGTAGTACAGGTTCAAAAATCTGTTATCAAGATTGGTTTGGGATGAACTGCTCGATATTTTGCAAAGAAAGGAATGATTCGGACGGACATTATACATGTAATCTGGGAAGTGGTTCAAAGATTTGTCATCGACAATGGTACGGAACTAACTGCACAACGTATTGTGAACCAAAGAATTCTACAACGGGACATTATTTCTGTAATAACGAATCTGGCTCACAGATATGTTATCCAAATTGGTTTGGCGTCAACTGCACAAAATATTGCAAGCAACAAAATGGCAGCAATGGACATTATTATTGTAATATTAGTACTACGGGAAATGTTTCGAAAATGTGTCATCCTGACTGGTATGGAACTAATTGTTCCACATATTGCAAGAATAGCAACGACTCTAATGGACATTATTCTTGTAATGAGACAACAGGCTTTAAAATCTGTCATCCAGAGTGGTTTGGAGATGATTGTGCAGTACATTGCAGAGAGCAAAACGAAACATCTGGACAGTATAAATGTAATAAAACAACTGGAGTGAGGATCTGCAATTCTGACTGGTACGGAGCTTATTGTATAACATACTGTAAAGATGCTGAAAATTACTTTTGCGATGAGACGACAGGTTTAAAGATATGCAAACCCAATTGGTATGGAGTGAATTGTACTCGTTATTGTAAAGAAAGTCAGGAAGGATTTGGTGATAATTATTTATGTAACAAGACAACTGGGCTGAAGTACTGCAAGCCTCATAGGTATGGGGTTAACTGCACAAATTATTGTAAAGAAAGCGACGATATTAATGGTCATTATTTCTGCAACGTTACAAGTGGTTCAAAGATCTGTCTGCCTGACTGGTATGGTACTAACTGCACGATTCACGGTGCTAAGATTTGTTCCACAAATTGGTACGGAAGCGAGTGTGACATTTATTGTGATAGTTTAGCCGTTAATTACTTTTGTGATAAAGAAACTGGGATGAAGGTTTGTCGACCAAATTGGTATGGCCACAACTGTGGTTTATTTTGTAAAGAGGAAATAGACACCAGCTACATATGCGAAAATACAACCGGGTTAAAGATTTGTCTTCCGGAATGGTTTGGTCCAAATTGCACAAACCATTGCAAAGATAATGAAAACTATCGATGCAACGTCACTACCGGAGATAAAATTTGCCGACAAGGACAATTTGGTGTGAACTGTTCTAAAAGCACGGGTGAAAAAGGCTGGAAAGATCTTCCTCAATATCAGAAGATTTTGATCATAGGAAGCGGAGGAATAATAGTGCTGGCGATTATCATTTTTGCTCTAAAAAGGTATATCCTCTTTTTAATATCTGACCAAATTAGCAGTTAACGATTCTTCATGCATATAAGGAGCAAGTAGCAACTCAAAACTTTATCTATTTAATTAAAGTTCGTTAACTAATCGATCCTCCAATAGGCGATTTCAGGTCTTGGATGATAGAAATTAAATGGAGAATAGCTAGAACGAACAGCAAATTCAGGATCATCCCCATATCGAAGTAATCTGAATTTGATTTATACAGGTGCAGCAGGAGTTTTTCACTGAAGAAGAACAAGGTGGATCCTGAACGAAGAGCTCTGCACATATACGTTGTCGAGGGAGAAAATATTGATATGGACAAATTTTAAAAGTTTACGACGGTAAGATAGATTTATTTAACCACTTGGATATTTCTCCATTGCAGTACATAAGCAAATAGGATATTCCGTATGATCATGACACATCCTCTATAACTCATTTACATAATGTAATTCAGGAACATTCTTCAAGCTCAGTAAAAGAGAAGTTACACGGTGCAATTTTTCTTGCAACTTGCAATGCAATTCTACTTTTTAAGAGATGTAAATTAGTGAAGGGCCTTCAAAATGTAAGTGTAAGAAACGCCATGGAGTGTAATAAAGACAGAAGTTTGGTACTTGCCAAATTTACATCTCTCAAAAGAAGAATTACATTGCAAGTTTCAGGAAAAATTGCACCGTGTAACATGGCCTGAAGGCAGGAAAGGATTTCTATTCCGACAATCCTTCTTAGCAGCGATTGGCTAAATATGAGCGCGAGATATTCTGAACTACACAGAACATTTTATTTTTTTTCAGATGCTTCTAATATGCTGAGTTCACTGGTGGTGCTTTGTATATATTTATAGTTCCATTAATATTTTGACTTGAATAGTTGCCAAACGCTTTCATTGATAAAGTGCAATTATTTTAATATGTTTAATAGTGCAATGTTTGATGCGGTCAGGATATCGAAGTAAAAGTGAAAAAGTAAACAAAATAGCATGAGATCCGACGAGAAAAATCAAATTATGATGGAGTTTCTGCATGCAAGCTCTCTTCAAAATTAAACAAGGTTAGGGAGAACCGAAGAATGAATAAAATTTGGCGTCTTTGAAATATTTAAACAATCTCACGGCGGGAAATAGTTTATACAACATCATATTTTTTGTGACCTGAATACTGTTATATAATCGCGGAACGACAATTTTATTTTGATGAAGTACAAAAGAACAGTGAATTCAAATACTATTATCGTTCATTGAAGCAAAGAAAGTGTTCCATTGAGTTCGATTAGTCAATTTTGACCATTACGCCATGCAATATCCTTATTTGGAATAATCGACGAGAACCAACGTTTTTCGTTTTCCCCTCTGTACGATACAGTCTGGGGGTTAATTAGGGTCAGCACGTTTTACTTGTTATCAAGTGGTGATCTGCGAGTTTAATGTTTGCATTAGAAACTTCACATGTGGTATTTAGACCAATGAAATTTTACCTTGATGTTATGTAATTTTTGTTGTAATTTTGTGTAAACTAAATGGATTTATGAAAATTAAACTGTATATTATGTTCCATTACGCGAATTCCAATGTGTATAATCTTCTTTTATAATTAGAAATCTCCCTGGGATATCAATTATCTAGTTGGGGTTGTATGTAAACATTTCACGCGAATATACTAATAGATTCTTCAAATAAGGTTAATCAAGGACTTTGTCGTTGATCGTGGAAAAGCTTCGAGGATCGAGGGTGATGTTATAACGATGGATGAGCATATACAGCCTGCTTTCTTTGTAAAAAAGCAACATTATTGAGACCTACTTGACGCAGGTATTATTGCAGGGGTCTCTATATTCGGATTTCAAGGTAATAGTAGTTGTAATAAAGTTTAAGGAGTCCTACCCTTGCTTGTTTCAAGGCCGGCACGTACGTTTAGACGCACACAATCTGTCAGGTGGATATTAAATTTTGCTATCGTGATCAATCGCGAATGTGAGTATATTCTAAATATAAACAACGCTCATTACACAGAATTTCAGAATTTTAAAGCCTGTACGCTGCAGTATACTGTCATAAATATTAAAAATGGTAAGAATATGCAATACATGTAATACGTATGTTCAATATTTCCTTCGTATGTTCCCTAATGCGTATGTTCCATTTCACGTAAAGAGAATAGCAGTTGCGTCATGTAAAATTGAACATTTAAGCCCAGGATTGAAACCCAGCCTGGGTTAACTCCCTCAGTTCGACGTTTTTACCACCGACGACGAAGTATGAATTTTATGATTAGTATCACATTGCTCAATCCCTTGACGTCCTGCCGCTACGCCTGTACAAGTAGACTTGCAGTAATATGGCGATATCCACACAAATCTGCAGCAAACCACAGATTGAAAATTGCAACGGAGCCTCTCTCACAATGAAGTAACAAGTCTTGAATGTGTCGCCCGACAGCCACATTACTACCATTGTTACACTATAAGGGTTAAGTTAATATTTGAACGACAATCAACATTAAAGTTATTATTTAAACAATTTTCAATATAAAAAAAACCGAAATTAATAATTGTTTTATGTTATATTTGTATGTTACATTTAAAAACTTAAGGCAAAACACCAACATCAGTGGAATAAAAACAGTTAAAGACAAATAATAATAAAATAATTCTTTTAAAAACAAGCTGGTCGCCATTTTGTTTACATTTATATAGTTTGGCGGGAATTCTCAGCCGCCGACCGCGCTTTACCGCACGTGACGTATGGCCTTGGTCATGGAGATTATAATTCAAAATCTCTATGATTGGTTCTCTCCAAGGTCGAACAAAGAGTTCGGTCGACGGATTGGTTGTTTGTTTTAACCAATCACCAACGAGAATTGACTGACTTGTCTGGAGTGTTAGAAATTAGAATTTCGAAGTTCGCAAATTTGCTGCGAATTTTGAAATTTCAGAACTCTTTAGTGCAAAAAAACTCAATATGTTTTGTTGAGAGAGCAATAAAAATGATTTGTCATGAGGTTCTAAGGTCAAATGTAATGCATATTGAATAGACAGATTAGTTACTGAACATTTTCCTCCCTGGGGAGTTAAAACTGTCACCATTTGGACAGAATATTAAAAATAACGAAGCGAATGTACATCAACTATGTGACTTCGCTGCGAATCGAAAGATGCCGAATTTTAATTTAAAAAAATATGACAATGTGTGAAAACTAACCTCATTCCAGATGTGGAGTAATTCTGATAGTTTTTGTAGAACTGTGGCACACCAAGCATTGCTTCGGTAAACACCGCAAGAAATCCAATGACCTCTGTGTACACGGTATATTCAAGAAACAAGAACGTTACGTAGCTACCGATGCAAATGAAGACAATTACAGCATAGAAATAATCCAGGAAAAATGACCACTTCCAAAAATATTTAATTTGAAAATCTAAAGAGAAATACACAAATTATATACATATATGTATAGTATATTTTTTACAGTAAAAAAATTCTAGCTTTCTAGGAACATTTTTTGTCTTTCAACATGTCTTTCAAAGTCAAACTTTTGTCTTTCAATAAAGTCGGTAATATAAATATGTATCACAAATGTAATATCTTGGGCAAACTTCAATTAAAAAAGGTTAGGAAATAACAGTGTGTTCACACATATGAACATTGTCAACCGGCAACCGGGTTTTGCAAGAAGTTAAATGGCATTTGTTGATGTGTTTTCATATATTTTAAATAACGTCAAGGTGATAGGCAACATATTTTAATACCAGCCTCGGTGAGAAAAACATTTTTAAGAGTCAAAATATATGGATATTTCTGCACACCTGCAAATCGTCTTCTTTTTCCAGACAAATTGGATTCTCTGAGCACTTTTGTACAAAGGTGCAACAGCATCAACATGGCGAAGATCATAATGAAACTCTGAGCAAGCAGGGGGAGTTCAAATCTTCTGCCAAACCTTTAAATAAAATCACACTTTATACTACATTCATACTTTTAGGAATTTTGTTTCAGACCAATCAGCAAATTTGTTTACATTTTCAGTAACCCAATCAGAATGCATAGATATTCTAGTTTTGGAAATCATTTTTCCTGGGCACTCGGAATGATTTAATGACTTTGAAACAAAGGAATACGCTATGAAGTGGAAAACAAAGGTAATATGTACCTATTGCAGAATAAATTTTAAGTATTTAACTCAAATTATTACCAGAAAAATATCCTTAATATATTTGCCATTAACAAGGCCAAACAAACATTCAGAGAGAAGCCAGATGCATTTCGTGTCTGGAATATTTCATAGTACTGTGGGATGTATGGTACAACACCACCAAATATCATTGCCCCAGATGACAGCATTGTAAATAATGTTAATAAGTTTACTCCCATAAAATCCTCAGGATGGTGAAAAAAATGTTCCCTGAGACCTTGCGTTGAAGTAGTTGACATGGTTGTCTTCGGAAATAGCTCCATGGTGTTCATCGTTTCAGCTTTGTATTTAATATATTATTTATACGTTTTTGGACTCTTATCTTCTGCCAAAAGGGAATATCTTCAGCAAATAGTGCTATACTCTTATAGATCAGTTGGACTGTCAAGAGTGACACTCTTGAATCTTCAAATACCAAAGGACAAATCCGTTTGTTTGGTTAAATATATATTCTCGCTCGATATCTGATGAATTTGTTCAATCTACCAGTATCAAAAAGACATCTTCATTTATTAAACTGGCAAAAGCCAGTCAGATAAAATTTCACTAAGATAAGCTTAAATTTATTTCTAATCCACAGTTAAAGCACCATGATTTCAAATACTGCGACAGATTTAATATACCGCCATTGCTTATAAGTTATTTCAACGTTGTTCCTTCAAAAACCTCAATAACTTGCCAGTTGCCACGTCAGTATTGTTGGTCTTTTATGCAAAACAACGGCATTGAACCATCAAAAACAATTAGACCCTTTCCCAGCATGTATTAAGACAGGGCTTCACCACTTCCACTAGATTGTCTAGCAACATTCTAGCCATATATTGTTCTAGATTTACCAGACATTTTTGACGTTTTTCTCTTTTGGTTCTTCAACTTTATAAATTTGAATTGTGAAAAATATTTTAAATTGTACAAAACAAACACGAGCCCGCAAACGGGAACGCTGACCAAAGTGGAAACCTCTCAATGAGGATCAATTTATAGAAAGTAAACATAAAATGTCTATTTTTCTATTCACTATGATGTAACTAAGAGCCTTTAGAACATTATATAAACAAGCCATTTCATTTTCTATATCAAGCCAGGTAGTTTATCCGGCTATAGATGACAGATGAATGAGTCCAGGGCACTGCAAACTGTGGTTAGTTGGTTCCATAAAATCCTAGAAAAATTTTTTTTTCAAAAATATCAATTTTCTTGTACAATATCTCTATGCTACAGTACTGTACAATTTATTTAGTTGTATCATACAAAATAAATTACAGTTATTGCCATATCTAAACTAAATACATCTTTATTATACATTTGCATGCTATCTACTGCAACTCTGCTTCTCGTTTGAAGCTTGACGAAACAGGTGGACCTTTGTCCTTGCCGACTTCTTTCTTCAAAACATGAAGAAGTGTTTGAGAGCTCTCTAAGATCTAAAAAAGGCAAAATAATTTTGAACACTTCGGGATATTCTGAAATTCAGGGTTCTTGTAGGATTTGTATTCATAAGTACAAAAGTTGTGTGTATTTGCAATCACAGGCCTTTAATGAGGGTAAGTGTTACGGTCAGGACAAGCGAACAATTTGGCTAAAACAGAATTGCAAGTTATTGCTGGAAGAATTGATGTCAAATATTAGATATTGTATATAAATATTTAGGCAGTAAATTAATCTATTACCTTCATATAAGCAGACTCAGTTTCTGCAATAGTTTTATCATATTCATTTCTAGAAGCAATCTTTTTTGCAAGACTTTCATTGATTCTAGCAAGTCTTTCTGTTAAAATTCTTAAATCATTTTGAATCTTCCCTTTCTCTTCCTCTTCAACTAGAATTTGTTTCTGTAGTTCATCACGTTTGTTACAAAGATCTTCGATGCCTGCAAATAACAAGGGAATTATGCTTTTATTGAAATCATATTGGATAGGTTTAACGATGAATTTGTCTTGAAAGAAAACAAAATTGAGAAAACTATGTAATAACGGTCAATATAATTTGACCACAACATAAACGAAAATATACAAACAACGGAAGTAGACTGTTTATTTCCTGCATTCATTCTGTCGTACTTTTCAGTCTCTAACTATTTACAATACTTAGCAAAAGGCTCCTAGAAACATCCTTTATAAAGTAGACAAAAATTTTTGACATCAAAAGGCTGAAATTCACCCAATTCGGTAAACTTGAAATCCAAATATCAAGCCATCAACTCACATTTGACTAATTCGTTGTTGTAGCTTTGTAGGGCTGCACCTTGCTGAGACATTCCTTTTGGTTGCCAACTTTTGACAACTTACAATAACATTTGAAATAAATTTTTAAAACTGAGAATATATTGAACAATTGATGTTTCCTACTCGATTGATTTTCGGATGCGTTGTTAGGTGACGTCAGTTAAGGTGGCTACCCCGACATCTCCCGCCAATTTCCTGGGCCAATCAGGGATCGTGAAATTCAGCCAATCGGAATAACGTTGTGGCAATAAATGAAATGTACATTAGATACTTTTAGGTACTTTTTGCGCCCTACCAAGCAAATTTAGGGCATGCTCTCCTTGCCCTTGGATAGTTTGTTTTACAAATTGATATTTGATTTCATGTATGATCGCCATAAAAGATGAGTCAACTCTTCTAGGTTGAACTTTATCATATCCCAAACCAAGCAATTTGTAATTTTGCCTTCAGGAAACTATTTTGTCAACCATGGTGACTGGTATGCTCCCCAACAATTTTCTTGCATTGCAAATCATTGGAGAGAAACAACAATATTAACTGGATTAAAAACTAGTTCCTCTTATGTAAACACAGATGTGTAATTTTGAATTCTATACGAAACACAAATGAATATAAATGGTCCTGAAATAACCCCCTTATTAATTAAAACTTTTCAATATAAATATAGAACAATGGAACCTCTCTATAATTTATCGTATATGTTGGGATATAAATTACTGAAATATGTCATAAGCAGACAGGCCGGCTGAAAATACGTTGCTTGTCGGTGATGTCTTATTGTAGAACAAAGTCAAAGACAAGTGACAACACAAAGCTATATTTTCCCTAATTTCCTTGTCTTTGCCACCCAAACACCATCGCCTAAGCGGCGTTCATAACCTTTCTTTTTATATATTTATTGCCGGACAACGCTAACTTACACTCTAACAACTGGCCGTTGTATTTTCCCCAAACGCCTGCCGCACCGGGTTGAAAAGACTTCTCTTCTGAATCACCGGCAGATGTTTCGCTATAAACACTGCCTGAGTCTCGCATTCCTTTTCTCTTGGTCTGCTTCAAATCCATTCACCGAAAATCTGCCCAAAATCGAGTTGCCTATTCCAAAAAAACTGTGAGACTTTGACTTGTAAATCCAACTGCGTTTTCAACTGTTTTTCAGTTCCTGTTCAAATGCTATTTCACTGTCCGCGCAATTTACATAAAATCATTGATTAAAAAACAAATAAACTAATCCCCAAAAAGATCAAAACAGATCTCGTAAGCCACAAGGCACTACGGGTACTTAGCTTTATGACAGCCACTAGTAATAATGTTGACACTTTTTATGGGTTTACAAACTAACCCAATTCACAATTGCTTGATTTTCTTCGTTGCAAAGGAATCTTAAACTACAGTGTAATATAATCGGTCAATTATGGTTTTCACAGTAGCATTTTCCTAGTGGTGTTTGAAATACGTATCAGCACTTTATTGCTGTTTTAATAGTTCTGTTGACAGTGTCCAAAATTGCTCAGCACTTAACCAATGAGATTGCAGACATGCCGCTACAGTTCCACACAATTATAACAATACGTAGCCCAGAAATCTGTTTGTACTCAGCCTTCGATTACATTGTTTACGCGCGCGGTCAGCTTCTACTCTCTGTACTAATTACTCTACTAATTACTGTAGTAATTACTATGTATCAAAATATAATAGAGTAATTAGTACAGACAGTAGAAGCTGACCGCGCGCGTAAACAATGTAATCGAAGACTGAGTACAAACAGGTTTCTGGGCTACCTATGTTATAACTTCTTGATTTTGAATTGACGTAACTATAACCGAACGCACACCGGAGAAAAAATCAGTTGCACTTTTTTTTACTTGGGGCAAGCTGAGTTGTGACGTAGAAAAGAGCCATGAATGGCTTTGCATCAACAGTAAAAATACGAGCTAGTTTGAGTAGTTTCACGAGTAGTTTCACTTAGTTAGCTACTGCATGATCAGCTGGCATTCTTCGAATTAGGGTAAGGACGCCTTAGTTTCTGTCTTGTTTTCCGTGTTTTTTGTTTCTGTTGTTTACTCTGCGCCAAAAGTGGATGTTTGCCATGGAACACGACAGGTCTTGTCTTGTTTTCACTTGCACTGTCGTCCATCAGTTTTAATTTTGCTTCAATTGCTTTGATTTTATCATTGTGACTGCATGAAGTAAAAGTTTAAAGTTTTAGTAGAAATCATGACAGTTTAATCAATCAGGCCTCTGTCCAGGTGAATTTCAGGCAATGTCCAGAAAAGAGTTTTTTTTAAATTCAAACATACCTCAAGGCATTGCCAGGTCTTTTTTGTGCACTATGGCCACTATTATCATTTTTCGTAGGATGATCCACTCCCTTGCCACATTTCACAGTCTCCTCTGCCCAACGTACTTGCAGAGCTTGAGACAGGATGATTTTTCCATTTAGTTTTTTCAAAGCAAGCTCTGCATTCTGTGTAAGGGAAATGTTTTCTAAAGATTTCATTTCAATAAAGGAAGATACAGAAAAACTGCACAAAGACTACATCATTGACTAAATACTATTTGCTTCTTGTAAAGGGCATAGAGAATGTATTTTGAAAGCTACATGCAAGGCCGTAGCAGGACCACTTAATTGGGGGGGGGGGGTTGTACATTCATGTTTATATACCGTAGGAACAATAGCGTACAAAAGAAATCAGTTGGGCACAGGGCAAATATGTGATATGCATTAGGTCTGCCCACTGATATTATATAAGCCTGGATGAGTAATAATGATAGTTTATAACTAACCTCTTTATTTTTGTACTCAACAAAACAATATGTCCTCGGCTCTCCCTTGTGAGGACCCACAGTATGAAATAAATATTCAAAATTTTCAACTTCCCCGTAACACTGAATAATCTTTAGTAAGTTATACCTACAAAAAACACTCGTGTTCAGGATCTTGCAAAGGTCATGTACTCCTGTTTATGACATACTATTTATAATTATTCACATTTCTTTAAAAAAGCTATACATCACGCACTCTGTGAGCCTTTTATCTAAGTTGCCAATCCATAATTTCTTTTCAGAAGTCGTCTTTGGATTTGTTGCCATGAAATATTTCACAATAATAAAATTACTGTTAACTTTTCTTCACAGTAATAAAGCTGGCCGTTTTTGTTTATGGTTCCCAGGCCACTCAGCCACGAAATCCAATATGGCGGACGAAAATAACGAGAAAAGAAGAGAAAAAGTGAGAAAAGACGAAGGCTTGGAAAGGGAACGTCGCCGATCGAGAAATAGATCGAAAGATGGACATGTAAAGGTACCGAGCTTGTATTAGGCACAATATATGCACTTACTTTAATGTATTGCTTTGTTAAAATGCGATAAAAGATGTTATATCATTTATTTGTAAACAATTGTTGCCTTACACAGAAGACGAAGGGAAAAATAGAAAAAAGAAAATCACGAAAGAGATCACACAGTGAATCTGAAACAGATTATAGGTATAATTCATAAGTTCATTCTCCTATTAGCTTTATATAACCTTTGTTACACGACACATTCTATTGGTTCTATATCATGTATGAACTATGACCTCGCCAAAGCAGTTAAAACTTAAACACTTATGATGACTTGAGTCACTTGACAATGTATTTTTCTGTCATTATGCATGTTTTGTTATAGTTCATCATCAACTTCATCAAGCAATTCAGAACAAAAAAAGGCCAAGAGAAATAAGAGGGCACATAAAAGAAGTTCAAGCAGTTCATGTAGCAGTAGCTCATCACCTGAAAACAATAAAAAACGAATGAAAAGGAAGAAGAAACACAAGAAAAGATCGAGTAGTTCTGACAGTTGCTCATCCTCATCAGATAGCGATGAAAAACATTCAAAATCCAGACATAAGAAAAGCAAGAAAAAGCTTAAGAAAGAAGTAGCTACATATGAAAATAATGATATGAAATTGTGAAAAGCTCGATGTTTATAATACATCTTTATATGTTTTCATTGTATCTTTCCACTTATAGAAGAAAAACAAGTCAAAGAAGAAATTGAAAAAGCGGAAACACCAAGGCGCAGTTGATCAGAACAAGTATGGCGCGTACGGAATCCTGCGGGAAAGTGACTTGTTCGTCAAACAACAGGAGTTTTATTGTTGGCTTCAAGAGGTCAAAAACGTCAATTCAGAAACGTTGCCAAAATTCGAAGCCCGAAAATTGTTCGAGGATTACATGGAAGATTATAATACAGCAACTTTACCACATAAAAAGTGCGTTCAAATTTGAAAAACAAGCGTAATATGTCGTCTTATGTGACCATTAACATTCCCAAGCACCCCCGCGCGCTTAGCACTTTCTCCGTGAAGTACTTTAAAGAGCCTGGGAACGAGGCTGATTAACATTATAGCGCGACCGATAAAGTTAGCGAAAATGACGATGTCACGAAATTACGTCACTTTCACCGAGCACATTTCAGCCAAGTCGGTGGTAATTCCATGTTCCAGGACCAACCGAATGAATCCTAACTTTAATCCTAACCTAACTACTAACCCTAAAGGATTAGATTAAGAGGATTAAATTCGTGGATTCTGGATATGGAATTATTAGTACTGCCAGGTAGACCACAAAGACGCGGAATAAAACACATCACCAGATGTATCACCCTTTTGGAAACTTGCCTGGTGTTTATCTTTCATTCAAATAATTCAATTTTCCCAACTGCATGTTCGTCCTCTTCAGGTACTATGATCTTGAAAAATGGGAGGCAAAACGGCAAAAAAAGAGTGAATTAAAAGCCCTGAAAAAAGCAAGAGAAACATCATTCTCGATTGTTGATGACGAAAAACGACACGAACTGCTGCATCGTAGAGTGGACACAAATAAATACGGTATTGTTAAGCCCGGTTAGCCTTACAGCTGGGTCTAATATTTTTTTACCATCCTTATCGATGCATTTCTTTGCAACTTGCAAGTACGCAAAGACGACTGGAGGCTAGTCTGAAATGGTGACATATAAAGCATAAAACCCACAGTTCCCGAACAGAATATTACTCTGATAAATAATTTACCTTATTTAGCTGGACCAAGTCGACAACAGCTTCTAGAAATGCAACAAGAGTTGAGGCGGAGACAAGACGAAGAATACAGAAAAAAGGCTGGAATTTCGTAGCATATTCAGATTGCTCTCATTTGGCAGAAATCGACGACTTTCGTGAACGAATTTCGCAAGCACGTCCTCAGTTCTGGCTTTTGATGTGTGCCAACAAGAAACTCAACAATCACGAGTTTATAAAATGACCATAAAATAACGAATGACAATACTTGAACTTGTACAAACTAAATTCAACGCAACGATATACTCCGTACCACATAGCGTCGATATATTTGAAATTCAAGGCCCGTTTCATCCGTACTTCACATGCCGTAAGGTTATTTACAAATATTTGACGTATGAAACGGGCTTAACTAACTAAACTAAGGGAACTCGATATATCAATTGAGTATTATGTACATTGTATTGCCTCTTGATCAAGAGATTATTAAACTCGCTGATCTCTAGATGTTTAACTGGAGGAAACGTCGCCTTAGAACCGGGCAGGTTTTGCCGCGCGTAATTTGTTCAACAACATTTGTAAAACAATATCCTGCGTTTAACAGATGTGAATACTATTTAAAAAAAATTCACAGAATTTGTAAAATTTCTTGTTATATGAGACCAGAGGACAACAGAAATGTAAGCAAAAGCAATGATTTTGCCCAGCGAATTCGGACTATTTTCGATGCGCGTAAACCTTCATAACAATAGCACGTCTCTAGGGAAAAATTTGCCCCTAGCTGGATCTCTGTTCCCAACCGATTTCGGCCTATCACAGTCAATTACTCCATGTTCTTATAGACTGATCAACGATTCAATCGTCATTTTCTACCACAACTGACTTCCATAAACGTGGTCTATTTGAAAACAAAGGCTTGTACATTTTGTTCCCAGCAGCTTTTTCTACGACACGCTTTTCCGAAACGACTTTCTTTCTCTTGGTGAAAAAAAAGCTTTCGGTTTCTGTGCCGCTGAAGTAATACACTGGAGGGGTAATACACGATGATGGTACCCTCGGTACCGATTTCGATGCCACCTTTCCTTGGGTTGTATGGAATGAGTGTATACCAGGTGTTAGTACCCTCGGTGTTGCATCCGATGTTACCACCTTTGGTATCGATTTCGATGTCACCTTTCCTTGGGTTGTATGGAATGAATGTATATTAAATGTTGGTATCCTCGGTGTTGCATCCGATGATACCACCCTTGGTATCGATTTCGATGTTTCCTTTCCTTGGGTTGTATGGAATGATGGTATATTATATGTTGGTACCCTCGGTGTTGCATCCGATGATACCACCCTAGGTATCGATTTCGATGTTACCTTTCCTTGGGTTGTATGGAATGATGGTATATTAGATGTTGGTACCCTCGGTGTTGTATCCGATGTTACCACCCTTGATATAGGTGGGGGGGAAGCGTGTACGCTTGACGCCACGTGCGATGACGGTGAGAGGTTGATTTTAATTGCCTTTGGAGTGCTTGTAGTTTGAAAACCGTTCAAACCTAATTTTCGCTCATCGTGCAACCCTTGTGCGAAACAATCCTCCAAATATACTCTCAGCGACTTCATCTTTTCAGGTCTCGCGCCGCTGAAGGGCTTGCAAATGTTTGAGCTATCGCTAAAATGCGATTGTAAATCTTTTTTGGTCCTATCCTGAAATTTCTCGGAGGTTCTTTGATAATCTTTGTTTTGATCATTTAATATATCCATAAACGTTTGGTCAGTACCAGTGGAGACGTTCTCAACATTTCGTTGAACGTTTCTCTCAAAACGCATCCGTTTAGCCTGGTGTTGATCGATTTCCCTGCTGGCTGAGTGCTTGCCATTCAATGTCCTCAAACACGATTTATTTCCAGAGGTCTCCTGAACTCTCGTATCGGACTCACCAGCCCTTCTCTGTAATGGGCGCTTCGTATTTGAGTTGTTGTTTCTATAATAAAATTCTTTTGTTGCCTTTTGTTTTTTTGGCTTTTTGTTTAGCCATGAACCATACGTTTCAGCCAACTTTTTACCACGTTTCCTCTTGTTCTGTGGCCTCTGACTCTTATGAAAAGCCCTGTTTCTGTTTCGTGGAAGAAAACAAGGAACCCGACCAGAATACACAAATATGGAAAACAGTAAAGAAAAAAAAATATTGCATATTGGAAATCAATAAAAGCAATGAAAGTGATGAAGATATAATCTATTTGCAATATGAGGTTTTGTTAATATACCTGAATTACTAAGCTATGTAAGCTATTTAGAAACAAAGTGAATTCATTTTTATTTAAAGGATACTTCTTGATGTATAAATGTGGGTTTCTTTGAATGTCCCATAGCTTGTCAACAACGAGGGCTAAGTATGACTCATTTTTTACTTTTTCATTACTATTTGGTGTGAATAAGTTTTGTTCGTCATAGTTGACAGGAGAAAATATTGGAGCAACTGTAACAGATAGTTAGAAGGTTGAACTATGAGTATGAAGATTAAACTACCTTGCCAGTTTGATAACCAAAAATGAGCTGTATTTTTCATCACTGTATCATACCTGTATTGTTTTCTGCCTGATTCTTTCTCCTCCGACGAAATCGCTGTCGGATTTTTCGCTTCACGTCAGCTCTAAGTTGCTCTTTTTTGCGCGGTTCTTTTGGTCCACCCTTTTCCAAAAGTCTTAAACATACAAAACAAAATCAATAGCCTTTCCAGTTTCCGGATAAACAGATATTTTGCAAAAATATTGACAAAGTATGGCCGTATATACGATAAATTTACTTACAAATTTATACCAGGAGAAAATTCGTCCATGTTTTTTGTTTTGTAGCCCGTTGTATTTCTGGTACGCGGTATTCATACAAAGCTTCCACTTTAAAGCAATTCTAACAATTCTGGCAATTCTTTTTAGCAAATTTTGACTATACGGTGACTTATATGTTATATGTCACTATTAAAACTTTAACGAACATATATAAACTGATTATAAACAGATTTTATAGTCGAACAGTTGTTGCTACAAATGCCACAGCTGAAATCAAACGCCGTCCGAGTCCAAAGAAACTCCAAGCCACCAAAAATGAAAATTATTTGTGATTTTATATCACTTTTAATTTCTCCTCTATTAAGATAGTAGGCCATCATTTCTCAACCATTCATCGGTGTTATAATTTAAACCAACTAAGATGAATATCTGTTTGATAACAAACTGTAGTATAAATTTCTCATAATAAAAAAGCAGTCAAAAATCTTCCATCTTTCCAAGGAAACTCTTTGGGAATATAGTGGATAGCATGTTACCGTCAAGCGCAAATAAGGCATTTTTTTATTATTTATTTTTTATATAACAATTTTATTTTCTATTGTAATGCCTTGTTTATTATTTTTGTGAATACAGTATGCGTATGAAATGGATCCAAAACACAGTACATTTTCTGAGACTGTTTTGCTAAAAAACCTTTCGGAAATCGAGGAAATAGCCGAAGAAATATTGGCTGACAAGGAACAAGTATAACAGCACTCATCGTAATAATATTAATCCTTGTGTTTCCATATTACACTTTGTATTTTGTAATAAAATTTTTGGTAACATTTCATTTTGAATTTAATATTTGTAGATTAAAAACCTTGATCAGAGGCGAAATACCAATAGGGAAGCTTTGACTGCCTTAAGGAAATGCAAAGGTGTTTTACTTAACTTTCACAATGAGAAATCTTATTCAGTATTCGCAATATTAGTACATCTGACATTAATTTCCGTAAATTGAAAAGTTATGATATAAAGTATTAAAGTATATGTCTTTACCCAGTTGACCCAAACCCTGACTTTAACCCAAAAACATAGTATCTGTAAACTGGTTTATAAAATAAGAATAATTTATTAATCAATATTAGATGAACCCAGTTCCAAAAAGTCCTGGATGTGCTTAGGAGGCATGTTTATCAAATACCCAACTGATAGTATCTCAGATATGCTGTTAAAAGGTGAGCATTCATATGGGTAGACTAATAATAGCCATGAATGTGACAATAGTACTGCTGTTCTTCTCTAGCTGGACAGCTATGGGCAGATTTTGAGTTAATAGCATTTATTGATTGTATTATGTAGATCAAAAAGAATTAGAGACAGAAATAAAAAATGTTAGAGATGATCTGAAGGCCAAGGTCTCAAAGTTGCATCAACTTGAAGGTTGAAGTTCACTAATGAATTGTAAATTTGAAACTAATATTTTTCAACTTAGCATCAAATGTGGTATAACAACCGCCTAAAATAGACAAAACACTTCTCGACGTTTCGACCTGAGGGAGGGACTAACTCTCCTGACAAAGGCCCTCAGGTCGAAACGTCAAGAAGTGTTTTGTCTATTTTAGGCAGTTGTTATACAACATTTGATGCTAAGTTGTTTGCAGACGCTGCCACGCTGCTCCCTGATTATATTGGAACTTATCTAATATGTTTCAACCTACTTTCCATTCTCTTCTAAATTACATTCTCATGAACCTCTTCAGAAATGTAGGTGTTTTGACTAAAAGCCTATGTAATACCCCATACACCTCTCGCCCTCTGGTGGATGTTGTTACGTTGTTATTGAAAGTTGCTTTTCCTTATTCCCTTCAGGTAACCAACTGCCAAAAGGTTTTGATCTCACAGCACTGGATAAAGAAGAACTATCCAAATTCACTGCATTTCAACAGTGACAAGCAAAACATTGATGCAGTTGAAATATTGTTACCCCTCACAAAAGTTGTCACAGTTCTCCCAGTCTAGAAAATTATAGCATGATACTTACCGAGCCAGTACTTCTAGTACCGGGTCCAAGTCACTGACCTATACTAGAATAGGACAGTTATTATGAAATGATCAACATATTTTTATATGCAAAGTTAGATCATAATAAAAATTTCATTATAATAGGAGTGAATTGCTTTGCAAGCTACGTATTAATAAATTAAGCCATGTCACTATTTCATTCGTAGTTTGAACTTTGAAAGTCTAAATACCATTATGAATTAAATTTGTTTTCATATCCCAACACCCTGATTCAATTCTACGTCCGCTCTAAATTAACTGTCATGAATCAGCAAACCAAATTAAAATGAATTTCGCATGCCATTACGAGTACGAAGCCGAATTACTGAGGCGTTAACTCATCAGTCATCAAGAGGGGCAGAGATGTAATTTCTTGCACGTCGCGGAAGGATCCAGCTTTCCTTCAATGTGTTCTACATTTCTTTTCAATTTGTCAATGACCATGTCAACCGCAGATTTGCACTACACAAAATGCAATGTTAATTTCAGAACCACCCACAAAGGCAGGGGAGGTACGTGATGACTCTAAAATGAGTGTTACTTGGTTAAATTTGACTAGTCGAAGATGCAGTTCTTAAAACATCTCAGGTCGTCAGGAGTCTCAGGACTAAGGTTCGCCTTCGACGGCTTCGTTTTTAATTAAAAGAAGATTAAAAATAATCGGAATATGGAATATACAGCGAAAAAATCAAAGTAAACGAGGTTTTTATTTGATTGCATTAAAGATTTTTAAAAGCAAACCAAATTAACAGATCTTTGATATGTTCTGTAACCTCGGTTTGTTTCAAAAGACGAATGAAAAAGTCCAAAAACCAAAATAATGAAATGAAACAAAGACTTCGTTTACGTTTGATTTGGTCGTCATCTATTCGATATTTTGCTTATTTTTCCTTAGATTCACTGTATAAAAGATTCGCTGTAAATGCTGATGGATACTGAATGGACCGTTAAAAACAAAATAAAACAAAACAAATTACAGAAACAGACTGAACTACAATTATTAGGGATTTCATATTGATACATTTTATGGAAGCCATTACTTGAGTTGGCGCCATATCGTCTAGTCATATTGGCGTTTGCTTGGATTTTAGAATCTTTGCTGATTTAAGTTATTGTTCTAGTTTAAAGACTAAGAGCTTATTTTAGCAAAAAACAAAGAGGATCCATTATTTATCCAGGTTTATTAATATATACCTGAAGCCCAGAGCCAAATTTTCAATTTTTATATGCATTCAATTTTGTTTATATTTCGCTTTGCCCCCGGTTGGCTTCACTACAATGAACCTAGTTCGTGTTTTCCTGGTTTAATATCAATGATACGTTTTTTAAAATCAGTGAAATCAAAGCCAAAGCGGCTTAAAAGCCCCGAATCCTATATATGACGTAGCAAGTGTATGACGACTTGAATTGAAACGGGTTTACAACGAAAAAACATACGAAACTAAACAATGACGGAGCATCAACCGCTGGCTAATAATTTATACACACAAAATTATATTCACCTGATCAGCGAGTACTCCAAAGACGCTACAATATGCATTCAATTCATCTTCAATTTCATCCAGTGTGTTGATGAAATTTCCCAAGAACTTATCCACAGTATTCATTACCATCATGCACATATCGCAGAGCCCGAGGGTGGATGACCTCGAGCTAACTCCATAGCTTTCGGTGAGGGTTTCAACGTGGCTGGTTATCGTCTTGTTACAAAATCCAAGCCGCTCGCAAATATCTTCTGGCGTGAGTTTCTGTTCGATCCATTCAATGATCTGCTTGATTTCCTTCAAAATCAATTTACACTAAAAAGTCAAGTTGTAAAAAAATTATGTATTATTGTATATGATGAACGATAACACTGCTTTGTAGTGCTTTTGAAAGTAGAGAGCCCTGACAAATCTCAAATACCTCTTGGTAAACAGGAACATCACCCAGTATGGCACACAGGTCTTCAACAGCTATGATAATCAGTTGAAGTGTAGCATTACTGACTGTTAACTCAAACTTGATAAGATCTACTACTGCCGTGCACACCTCACATTCGGTGATACGAGGGAGGTTAAGATTCTCGATTGAACACTTTAACAAAGATTTGCAAATATTCTTCGGATCATCTCCGTTCTTAATCATCTTCACATACGTCTCAAGATTTGTTAAGTATTCGTCATTCTAGATAAATATGAATTACTTTTGTATAGAATAATAGTGGCGATGAAATTTCACGCACAATTTATAAGAAACGTTGACTACAAACTATAAAACATATAGCCACATTGAATGGTTTGTACTGGTTCGAACAGCCCAATAGTTTAGCGTGTGTTTTTGAAGATATCAACTTCGAAATTTTCCGCGCCGGTGTAAAAAAACAGCAGTTTTCGCGCTAATTTTCTTTCTTTCAGCAAGAAATTCAATTTAATAAAAAATTGTCAAGTGTAGATGTCATGCACCACGCATACTTGATGTAACCAACCCCCAAGATTAACAAGTGAAAATATACGAGAAAATGCTCTCGGAAGTAGATTATATATCTGCGCTTATATTGATTACCTGTCGTGAATATGCCTAAACACATTACACAAGTTATGTTTAATACCTGTAGAAAAGATGGGATGATCTTGAAAAGGCCTCTTAGTTTCTCTGTTATTGCGTCCACAGTTTGCGCTTGATTTAGAGTTTGAAAACGAATGAATCTCATGATGTACTCACAAGACTGACAATCCGAGATGGAATTCACTTCTGTGCGATCTGCCGATGTGGCGACGCTAGCAGACTGTGTCATCTGAAGTAAAACTGCTAAGAAAACCGAACAAAACAATCCCGCCTTCATGTTGGATAAAATTTCGCTGCGGTTTAGAGATGCTTGATTTCTTTCGAATACCTTCTTGGATAAATGCCAAGCCCTAAAGTCTGTATGATGCTTTTATCTTGTAATCTGATATTTCGTAAAGATTCTGATGGCGTCAGAACATGACTTTGAGGTCCTTTGCAAATTGAATTAGAGCCAAAGGTCTCTCCCCCAGGTGAAATTTTGGGCCTCCTCGGAGAAAATGAAGTGAGTCATTGTCTGTAATGCAAAAAACCTGTATGTGATCTTGCCCATCGAAATTGTCCATCATTGATGCCACAAAATCCTGCACAGAATGTTTAGCACGAACCTTGTCTTAAGTCACACTGGCGGCTTGCTATCCCCCCCTCCCCCCCTCCCCCCACCTCACCCCCCCTCCCCACCTCACCCTCTCCCCCCACCTCCCTAAAACTTCTGCTATACGCCTCTGAAATTTCTCGTGTAACGCGCCCTATTGCAATAGTTTGCTTCCAATTCATAAACGTATATAACAGTCCTGGTGCATTTCCATCTAAATTTGGGGAATTTAATTAAACAGGACGTCTGAATACATAAAGTTATTATTGAACAGTTGAAACATTCCCACGCGAAGCGAAATTTAAACACTGTAATATTTCAATCAGAGATATTGATAAGAGGGATGAAAAACCATATTATTCCGCATGGAAACACCACATCGTGGTCTCCTATCACTGATATCCGTGAAAAATCTTGATGCTGCTCAATTCTTGAAGATTGTGGCTGACTGGCTGAAGTTTATTTATCCCAACAAATACTTACAATTCATCTCTAAACAAACATAGCAGCCTTTTTATACAACATAAGTATAAAATGAGCTTCGGTGACCTTGAATTTAAATGCAAATATTCACACTTTCTTTTTAATCATATATTCTATCTAATCTAACCGTTTTCAACGGCCATTATAACGACTGTGATACTTGAGCAAAGTTAGTAAGTTTATTTGCATATTTAGTTGCATAGAAAGTCAAACAAGTATCGCAATTAGATGATTGTTATATGGATGTCATTCCTTTAATAATTATTTATTCCGTTTTCATTAAACTGTCATTTCTCTTGGAAAATCTGATTACTCAGCTGCGAAAACACTCGTTGTTTTTCGAATCACTCTCATGATTTGTGTTATATAATTAACTTTACTTGTGGAGAGTCAAACCATTCATTTCAGTCGGCAAAGAAAACGGACCGAATACTAACAGTGTACATCGGTATAAAGTTAACTCTAAGGAACACGGGTGAAAGAATGATAGTCATACCTAAATTGATCTGTATCTTTGGGTTTCTTTGTATGCTGTCGTTAAACTCGGCATCGCAATGGAAAGAATTCACTGATAAAGAAAATTCAGATGTAGGTTATCCAGCATAAAGCTACGGGGCTAAAATCTGTGGTGAAGATCTGATAACGACGAAAAACGACACTCTTGAATTGAGATGTTTTAAGAATGCGCAAAAAGCTAAGAGCTAAGTCCTAAGAGTAGACCGAACACTTATAGTGAAGATAAATTTTACATTATAGCGCGTCGTAGTTTGAAACTTGAAATGCATGTTTTATATCTTTGTATATATTATAGGTGCATATTTTCTACGAACCTGAACCTTCTGTGTTCAATGGCTGCGGTTGTCGTGATGGTCAACCAGGACGCCCGGGTCGGGATGGCAAGGATGGACAAACCATTGTTGGGCCTGCAGGAAAAGACGGGGTAAATGGCGTGAATGGTAGGGATGGCAAGAACGGAAGGGATGGATCAAAGGGAGAGAAAGGGGATCCTGGACCACCAGGGAAAGTTGATCCTAAGGTACACCTGAGCTGTAACTTTAGGTGTTATGCATTTTTTCCCTGTTTTTATTGTTTTAAATGTTTTTGACATTCTTGCTGTTGTTGTCGCAGCTTTCGTTGTATTTGTCAACATTGTTGTGGTGTCTTGTGTTTATCATATCTGATAACTGCGGGAAAAGTTTTTATTGAATTGCAAACATATCCATTCTATATTCTTTATGTTATATGAATAGGAACTGGAAGCTTTAAAAGCTCGAGTGAATATATTAGAGGCAACGGTAAGATTGTAATCTTTTCGCTTGTAAAGTTAACCACGTCATGTAAGAATAAGCAAGTGGACAAGTTTACATGACATTGAACGATTTACTAAGACACGTTGGCAATTGGCATTGGTTTATTCTCCCAGCTTTGATAAAGCAATTGAGAAATTCGAATGGCATTTGTCTCAACGGGACTAATAAATTGTCACTGACATGTCTGTAACCTGTTCTTCCCAACCCAAGTTGTTGACAGACTGCAGGAGTGTTTTGTTGTCCAACATGTAGTGCTTTGATAAGCGATAACCGATATTAAGCTTATGACAAGTTTGTCGCAAACTCTATACTATATTATGCATGGCGATTCATGGAGAAAGGCATTAATTTAAGGCAGTAAAACAATGCTAAGGCTACCTCAAGATTTAGGTTAACTATTAAAACAACGTGAAGTAGCGTGAATTAATTTACTAGATCACAGCAGTCGAGAAGAAAGCAATGGATGAGATTGAAGATGTAAGAGGTGCTTTTGAGCTGCGGGTCAAGCATCTTGAACAGCTTATAAAGGTAATGTGAGATACTCTCATTAGTGAAAATATCTACTCGTTACTTAAATTCTTTCCAAAGATTTCGTACGTTTCGGTTACCCAACACGTGATTCAACGGCAAAGTACAAAGTACAAACTACAAACTGAAACGATGGGTCAGGTGTATGAGTTCAGCACCAATTGCCCGACCTACTTACTACTCATTTCATCAAAAACTGCCGAATTTTGGTAGGATTCGATAACAATTTGCCTAATTTTTCTTCATTCAAATGTTTCTGTGGGTAAGGGTCACCTGCCACCCCTTTGCCATCTCACCCCGTACGCTGGCAGCGAAGCTGGGATGGTTGTAGAGCTTTGATTGTGTCACTCAGGCCTTGCTCGGGTAGGGTCGCAGCTCCTCGCAAGAATGATTTTCATTGGCTGAACTTTACAATACATTTTTGTTTCAACCAATAGTATAGCTTCGTTCTTTAGACAGCATAGAAAAGCATATCCAATTGGACGAAAGCTTCCGAGCACTGCGACATGTCCCCCTTGGTGAACTATGACAGGAATAAAACACTAATCAACTATTTTACTTTAAGAAAGTCAATGCGACCAGGTCAAGGACACCAGGACCACGCGGACCAGTTGGCCCTGAGGGACCACAGGGGATACGAGGAGCGCCAGGGTTGAAGGGAAAAGACGGATCCCCTGGCAAGACTGGTGCTCAGGGGGCACGAGGTCCCAAGGGTGAACGAGGTATATATAGCTCGTGTTAAAATGCATTAATCAAAATAGGTTTGTCGTTTGCATTGGTCACTGGCGTGCTATTGGAAGTGACGACATGTATGTGAAGCCTTGGTTTTTAAGTGCCGAATAAGTTATAATTAAATTATAACACAATTTCTTCAAAGGAAACAAACATGAAATGCTGCCTGAGCTTGTAACTGTGCGCCCTACATTATAGTTTCTGATCTTTGGAGTCTCGTAAAGATTACACACCTTGTAGCAATTGGTTGAAGCAAAAACTGCTTCTGTCAAGATGGCGGGCTACTTCGTTTCTAGAGTAGTGTGTTCTCCTTTTAGGACCCCAAGGTTCGCCGGGAATGGCTGGCTCCGAGGGCCCACGCGGAGAACAAGGTCCCAGGGGTCCACCTGGTGAAAATGGCGCGAATGCGTTACGGCAGTGTCGGTTTGGGAAAAGTAGTAACGAAGCAAAGCAGAAATATAGCAACTATGTGTTCGTCGAAGCCAAAGCTTCTATGGTAAGAGCCGAGAAATATGCTGATGCTGTAGTTTTGATTCAAAATGACGTCATACACGGATAGAGGCTAAGCCAAATGTAGTCAGCTCTGAGATCATGAGCGGTAACCTATATATTAACCCACTTTGAAAGGCTTTTGAAGGTAACGCATTTTCAACACGACATATACATTGTCTATCAGTTTGTTTGGCAGCCATTTTGAAAGGGCATACAGGCAGGCAGACAGGTAGGCAGGCAGGCAGGCAAGACAGAGAAGCAGGTTGGCAGACAGGCGGCAGATGAAGAAACAAGCAAACAGACCGAAAACTCTTCCATTCTCGTCCGCAGAACTACAAGATCATCGGAGCGTCTTGCTCAACAAGGAAAAGTGCCGAAGGAAGCTTGTATAAGTTAGAAAATGGCCAATACATGTGCGCATGTACCGGGAAAACCAAAGGAAAGTATTCCTGGCAACTGGATTCGCGTCGTATAGTTCGTCGGGATGATGACGATAAGGATCGCTATGATTGCATAATCAATTATTGGGAGTGCCCGATTGTTTAAGAAACATACTTCATGTAACAGGAAGGATACATAAAAATAAACTTAATTGAAAATTGTGTTCATTGGTACATTAAGGAGATTAAAGTCTTTGACCTCGAATAGCCGACTGTGCTTCTTCCACTGCTTCAGGATTTGCACCGTATTATCGAAACACACGGGCATTAAATTCCGGACGGAATTAGTTCCCTGGCCGATGATCGAAATTTGAGGTTGATTTTTTCCAGAATTTTTTCGAATTTAACTTATGGCTATGTCTTTATGTTTAATGGTATTTAGGTATTTTATTTGTTTTGGCCAAGCCCATAACTCTAAATAATTTTCATATTTTGCCCTGGGGAGCTATTTGTCGTAAACTGTTTACCTATAACACCCCTGGTGGTCAATCGTGACTTCACCTTATGCAACTGTTATGCAATATCCGACGTTTGTCGGGATTTTCGCTTGATCTCAGTCTTCAATGCTGGATCTTGCTTAGTATTATTAATCAAGATTGCAACCAATTTGTAGCCCGAAGGCTAAATTACAAAGTTTTTACACTAAACAAGGTTTAAGTCTATGTTAATTAATTTACATACTCTAATAAAAATACTAGTACATCACTAAAGACACTATATATCATATCAGCTGTACTTTTTTTTTTAATTTTCAATAAAATCGAAGACACTAAAATAGTAGATATATTAAATTAGACAAACCTACCAGTCTTTTTTGAGGTAACTTGAGATAAAAAAAGTTTTTATAACGATCTGTTTTGCACAAATAATCTTTATATGTGCGTGTTGATCGTAAATCTTGCCCAACGGAAGACGACAGTCGGGAAACAGTTCTACTAAGTTATCTTTCTGCTTATTTTTTTAAAAAAAGAAATTACATAAACTTTCCCCTCGATCTTTTAATGTAATTATTTCTATGCTATTTATAGTGCGTCTCAATAGCTTAGGAGGGTGAGATAATGAATGCTCGTTTTTGTATTTTCTCAATGTCCACGCACAGAAAAGTCTGGTATGTTAAAATGCCATACCTCACAGCCATATTCTAGAATAGGTCTAATTTGCGCGGGCCATCTTCTCCCATCGATTTACTCGACCGAAACGTTTGCAGACAGAAAGTCTCTTTTCACTTCATTGCAATGTTTTTCCACAATACGGAACACTTCGAATTTCTCCACGAGTTCATCCCACGCCGTCTGAAAGATTGTTTTGGGGAGAAAACATACCAAAATATGCTATGATGAAGATTAAAAGCTGCGCGCAATATAATTAGCGTCAGTCTTTTCCTGAAGATCCGTATTTTTTAAGGGGCACGTGACGCCCCCGTCTTCCGGCCACTCAGCGGGAGCCAGAAGCCAATCTAACGGACGCGCCGGCATTCCTCAGCTATATATGACCTGGCAATTGACAGAATCAGACATTTCGTCTGAAATCCCATAAGGTAACTCGCATCCTGGAAGGAAGATATCTCGCTTGAACTACTGCAAAGATATACGCAAATCGGCCGATCTGCTTGTAAAAGGTGAGCCAGTATTTTTATTTGTATTCAAAATACGACACCGCGTGAATCTTGCATGTCAAATTCAAATACATGAAGCAATGTATCCTACAGTGTGAAACTGTCTTTCAGTAACTATTTTCATGTTGCTCTTGCTGTGGTTAAGGTTAGACTATTTAGACCAAAAGAATGCAGCTGAATTTTCTTGGCGCGCGATGGCAGTATAATTAACATAAGCTCCGTTACTGGTGTAATTTTGCGCTTTGAAAATGCGGGGGAGCGCCCAAAGCAATGGACAGAAATTTGAAGTAAGCCGGTAGCGTTATGCCAACGGTTGCCTAACTATGATTCACATCGGCCCGTGGACTTTAACCTATCTCATGATGCACGATTATTTCACGTGCGCTAAACATGAATCATGCATGGCTCACGCAAGACGAATATAAAACAACTACAATTTTATACTTCGTAAGATTGAATTGTACAAGTCCTGATTGACTTGTGTAAATTCTAGGGTATGCTACGTAAGTGGCAAATTAGATCCGGTGTAAAAGTCTATAGCGAACGGCGATGTAAACAACTACTGTGTATATTATATAAACTACGATTGTTCCGGAATCTCAAAAGTATACTAAATGTCCCAAAAAGACTAGCTCTTTGGAGTGAAGCCGCTTTTGGTATCTCAAATGCCTTAATGACTGCCACAAACGCGCGCGGGCTTATAATCAAAAGCATATACCTAAAGCCCTAGACAATACAATTACAATTGCAATTACAACTAGTACAATTAGGTTCTGTAAAAAACCCAAACTTAAGCTCAATATATCAATATGAAGAGATATTCAAATTTAATCAACGACTTGAACTTCAAAACATACTGTATTTTGCCTCTCCTATTAGTTCGCCTTAGCCTGTAGTGCTCAGGTATGGTTAAGTTCAGTTTTACGATCGAAAGTCATAGACATATATCTCTGCCTTTTGTGCAGATGGAACAAGATTCCCGTAAAGTATATATAACAATATACTCTTTGATTGCCGTGTCTACGCGAAAAGTCAGTACGTTTTCATTGAAAAGGAATCTTGATGAAAGCTGGTCCTATGATTTGCAAGTTCTTAGAAGTGAAATAGTTCGTGCGTGCGGCCGTCTATAGTCTAATCAGTCTAGGTTTCTAGGAAAACATTAAACGGTATATTTCGTTTGTTTTGACATTTATAAGCAAAGGCCGAAGGGCGCCTTGGTCATGAGATATATGTTTTCTTATTCTGTCAACATAAGAAAACATAACATAGTCATGGTTGGAAAAATCATGGTTGAAAGAAGAGTCTGTCTTTATTAAGAAGTGTGTGTCTCACACATATACGTACGTGCATCATTTTGGAAACCTTTGCGATTCAGTTAGCTATTGGACACTATATAGGGAACGTCGCAACCCGAGATGAATTTAAAAAGCATAAAATACTTTTGAAGCATTGAAATAAACATGGCTTAATGAACTAAACAAGAACAAACATGAAACATGCGCCGTATATTCTCAGAATAACAACCGGCACCGAGCTAGGCGCTTATTAGCTACAATATAGGCTACCTCGAACACACAAAGTTATCATTGACATGATCATTTCTCGCGTTAATCATGTCTCTAACTTTGTCATGGAGTGACGATACATTTACACATACAGTTCACTATAGCCTACAGTATATAGGCAGTTGTTTTGTGAAGAATTTAACGGTTCCCTAGCTTCCATTTCGTTACGTTCCTGTATTACCATAAAGCGTAAAGCTTTACAGGTGAATTCTGGTGTCAAAACAGTTGTGAATAATTCAGTTAGCTATATACGTTTGTTTATCTACCTTTGTCTAGAAAAATGACCCCTTAATATGGCTATCCCAGATCACATAATACGGTTCGAAGAAACGAATTTATGGACGTATGTCTCGACGTAACAAAAATATCGACGATTTAACAGAGCATTTTATATTTTTTCAACGTTTTTATTGGGTTTTAGGTTCCTTTAAAGATATAATAATGTGATAAAAACGTGAGAATTATAGCGTGTCTTATCCCTACCACATGCTGTCTGATCCTATGTATAAAATAAATCTTTTTTAACTTATCCGGAAATCTTATGCAGGCTTTTATCAATATCTATAAGCCAGTAAACGAAGAAAGTTCATTGAGATTCCATGGAAAATTTCTTTCGCACTTTAGCAGTCCACCAACGTATTAACGATTCCATGAATACGGGTATAGGAATTCCGGCATGAAGTAAGAGGAATCCTCACCAGACTCTAGGAAAAACGTCATATAATGTGTAAAACCGCATAGCTTGGTTCCGTGAATTGTTTTAAAATGTTCAAAATATACAGCTATTTCACCTCTCGGCACTGTTCGGCAAATTTCGCTATAGTCAAACTTAATCGCAAAACACCTCCTGTTTTGTCACCGAAAATTATTTCTTATTCCCCCGACACTTAACTGCGTAACGCCACTAAACTTTGCCGCGTTGCACTTATTTTGCACTCATTTTATCATGTCACGTTTTATCATGTTTCCAGCCCAATTATCGCGTACATGTTCGAACCATAAAATCAGTAATAAATACCTTCTCTACGTGTGCCCGCCTGCATTGCACTCGCAGACCTCTTTCATAAGAGTTGCGGTTAGCGATGCCTTTTTAATTTGAACGATTGACCCTGAATGGCGTAAGAAACAACCAACAACAGATGTAGCCGCATAAAAGATGTAAATGCACAAAAGAGTTTATACTCGTTAACCGCGCAGACGAAACAGATGACTCTGTGCTTCACCTCATGGACCTAAAAGAAATTCAAAATACTCGTTATCAGTATTTCAACAGTGCAGTTGACTGATTGCATTCAACGAGATTAATTATACAAAGAAGAAATATAAAATCGCCGACGTTTTAGGCGGGATACATAGACGGCCCAGAGAGTGGTTTAAAACCACCTCAAGCACCCCTGCGCGCTCGCCTTTTTTCAACTGACCTCTACACAAGAACTGAATGCAACGCTATATATTTTACTATTAAAGCGCCTGGGTTCGAGGCTAGCGCATAGACTGGTTTAGGAGAGTATCAAATTTTGTGGATAGTAAAAAGCTGTGAAGATTTTTCACCAGTAGGGACCAAAGCGAATTGGTCAAATCTGTCAGAGTGACTGAACATTTACTACAGAGCATTCCTGAAGAAAAATCCGTGACAACCAACACACTCGTTCTTTCCGCTTGCGCGAAGCGCCATTGTTTCTGAAGCCCGCCACGCCCGAATGAGCTGATTGGATGCTTGCGTCGTATTTTGTCTCCACTCGAATTACTCCATTGCCGTGAACACGGTTGTATGAAAACGACTTCGTTCTAATTTCGTGGTCACGTATCTAATGATATTATATCCCCGTTTACCCTACGCTCGATTTTTTGGCACAGCATGGCTAAAATGCCCATCTCATGATTTCTCATCCATGATCCATGCTCGTCCTTTGTGGCTTTTTACTGGTAACCTAAGCGCTAATATTATCTATTCCTGGGTGGAAAGATGTTTCAATACCCCTTAGCTCCGCCTTGCTGAAACTTTTGCGGGTAAACTACTCGTTTTAACGTGGTTAATTTTGATATCGTGACCATGCGAATCCCGGAATCCGGCGTAGTGTAAACAAGGCCTAATTAAAGTCGGTTGTTTTCGAATTTCAATACTGCACCCATTCACATACAAAATACAACACAATTTCCATTAATTCGTATTAACAATGACTTAGTATTACACTCATAAACAAGTAAAGACAAGCGATATAATTTCCCGACTTTTATTTTACCCCAGATAATGGCGTCAATCATGAAAATGCCGAAACGTCAGGAAATTATATCGCTTGTATTTACTTGTTTATGTATTTCCATTATTACTGCACCGAATTGCTGAATATTGCACGCGCTAAAATAGGCCCTGTGGTGACATTGAATACGTTTGAATACTATACATTATTAAGTTAATATATTTTTGCCATTGCAGTTGTCCTCGCTGTTCTACATATAGATCGCCAAAATCTCTATTGACAGTAGTGTAAACAAAACGAATTGTTTTCATTACGCTCGCCATACCCACAGGCAATAGCCATGTGTTCTGGAAACTTTGCTGTGCCTTCTTTTTTATGCCAACGCAAACAAAAGACAGCGGTTTCTTGCGTGTGTTGTCGTAAATCGTCCAATAATAGCGCCAGGGTGAACTTATTCAAGCGTAACGTTGAAAAAGATATCAGTAAAATTTTGTTTGTGTCAACGCTGGAACCTCGTCAACATCAAATTTCAGCCATTATGAATGCTTTGAAGCATACCGAGTTTCCTGACCATCATTCTATTGACTTTTTTATGACTTAATCTCCTATTTTGTAATACAGGGGCCGGTTGTTCAAAGCTAGGTTAACGCTAACCCTGGGTTAAAATTTAATCCGCTGCTTTGGTTCATATGGTTCTGCACCGCTGTTTGTTTCAAGACTTCACAAAATAAGGCTTCTATTGATCAGCAAAATATTTTGTGAAATAACATGTTCAACTTCGTAAACGAACGTTTGAAAAAAATTATGTTAAAGTTTGAGTTAACCCTGGGTTAAGCTAAACGGCTTTTGAACAACCGGGCCCTGGTTATCTAGGTTGTTGTATTTACTAAAGGCTGAGCTTCCCGTTTCAGTTGACCATGTCTATTTTTGTTTAACACAAACGGCGTGATTACTGAATTCACGATCACGTAGATGGTGAAAATTGTTTACAAAAACAAATGGATGCTTTTAAAATGAAAAACATCAATCAGAAAGTCATTTCCTTTGTTGTTACAATTTCACCTCATTAATCGTTCTTTTTGTCATAGTTTTCATTCACGCACTCTGGTAAATGATGCGCACGACCGCAATCCTTTCCGCTGTCGTTCAATCAAATGAAATTGCGCAAATCTGCCGAAGGGATGGTGAGACAAATACAATGATCCTAATCTAACGTAGACATAAAAAGACATCTCGACGCTTCGACCTAAGGGCCTTCTTTATTCAGGAGTTGATGCGAAGGCCCTTAGGTTGAAACGAGGAGAACAGCTCCTATCACTCTTGAACAAATGAAAAACGATTGCCCAACTCTCTTAAACGGAAGGGGTGTAAGGGGGGAAGACTTCCCTTGAGGAAGGTCTGTCCAATTGGTAGATGTCACTGTTTGAAACTGTTGACTGCGAATGATTTTTATTATAACAGGACAAGACATCCCAACTTGTTCATTTCTACTAAAATCCAATATCCACTTCGGTTGAGTCGATCGTATTGTATGGAGAACAGAATTCTTCATAATAGTTCCCATTCCTCTTTGTATCCACAGCTTCGGATGCTGCGCTAACGAGTATATAATATAATATATAGTATATATTCTTTTGCACCTTTTATATAAATTGTCCCGCATATGATGCAAGTCAGAAATCCCCTTGTGTTAAAATTGTCGCAATGCACCCGTGAATGCTACAAATTCATGAATCTGCACGAAATAAAATCGTTTTTGACCTCCCGTGTCGAGCGCAAAAGAGAAGACAAGAAGGGTACACTTAATTCAAATACCATCCTATAACCTGCATGACCCACATTTGTGAGCATTTTTGTCGTTGAAGCTTGAGAACCGAAAAAACATATTCATTCTTATTAATGCAAGGCCAGTAAATTAGGTCCTTCGCCTGACGACATATTAATTCCTAATCAATCAATTTCCATGCTATTTACTTAGTCCATGGAGAAATATACTGGAACTTAATGATTTTCGTGGCGCCCGATAGACGGTGTCGCTTTCTCATACCATATACAGTTTCTATAATCCACCATTCATTGACATTGCGAGACTGAGGTATCATCTTTTTGTTAAGCCAATATGTTATTTGCAAGGGTTGCTACTTGCCAAACCACAAGATAAATTAGCCAAATTAGCCAAATGCTCTCAGTATCACCATAACCTCGGTTTTCTTAAAAATATAAATCAAAGGGTCGACTATAACAATGTTTGGCTTCTATTAATGATAGATTACGGTTGATGTCGCAATTGTAAAATATTCACATCGGGCAACCAATGTCAAAATTGAGGCGATAGATTTATAGATTGATAGATTTTCGATATTTAAAAAAAAACAATGTGACAGAAATTCGACAAAGATAAAACACATGCAAAATTTGCAAATCATCTGCAGATTGCTGTCCAAAATCATGCAAGCAAAAATTATTAATCTTGTAGTCGTTTCTAAAAATACCAAAACTACACGCTGAGTCTCCACCTCCCCCCCCCCCCTGATTGGTACACACAACACAGCATTGTCAGCAATCATCGAGCTCTTAGTTTAGCGCATGCGCAAAGCGAACCTAGGGGCGAATGTCATGCTGTGTGACAGATATTGATGATAGACGCGGGACAAAGGGGGGCTTGACAGTTGACAATTGGTTAAAAAATACATGCAAGTAGAGGTAACCTGAGCTTGTGCTATTCATAAAACGAGATCAGGATTGCAACACCAAAGCTGATAGTCTTGTCTGTGATTTAACTGATCTTAAAAGATTCGTAAAAGTTATTTAGGGTGTGTAGCAAAGTTAGCAAACGGTTAATAAAAGATTCCTGCAACCCAAGATGAAAAACGATACTACTTTTGTGACACGTGATATCTCCAAAACTCCGTTTCCGGCCGCAAAGGATGAATGATGTATTTTACTCTGAGTCGATAACCAGGAAACGCTCAGCCCTGGAGCTTAAATTTTATTCTTTATCCACTTCAATACTCGGTTACATTCCTTGCCGATGTTTCCAGTGAGATTTGAACTCGCATTTTCGGGTATCCATATGGTCTCGCTACCCATTGAGCTATCCATCCAGCTAAATATGTTCGGTTTGGTATCGCGTTCTACCGATTTAAGTGCGCAAAAATATTTCGTAACGACTTAACGCTTGCGGTGGAATTTTCTTGTTGCTTTCTCAGGCTCTCAGCAATGTCAGATTATTAAGAATTTGATATTTCATATCTATGAGGATAGTTCTGAATTACGCCCGTTTCTGACGCCGAACTTTTCATGTGCTGTGTGCTGAATCGAATTAATGCAAAGTTCACTTAAACAAAGACTTTAACTCATTTACATTAGGTTCAGCACATGAAAAGCGTGACGTCTAAACCAGGCCTTTGAATTGAGAGCCTACAGATTTGAAACAATGTATTTTTTTTTGCTAAACCGCAAGAGTGTACTTTACAAGCTGCTGACGGGAAAGACAACTTTTGCTATGGGGGCTCTTATTGTAGTATTGCAATTATGTGAACAATTCGATTAAGTGGCGTGCCCTTAGTCCGAACGATGCCATGAATTCTGTTACCGGACTATATTGCTTACGCGTTGAACTAAATCTATTTTCTTTTATATTACAAGCTAGAAACCTATCTATTATTAGAACGTCTTTGGTCTCTACAATAGCAAATTTAGTGTAAATAGGGACCATTTAACAATGACGCCATCGGCTTCGATTATTCATGGCAGATGCAAGATCCAGTATTACTTATATTAGTAGCTTTATAATCAGTGTCTATACAAACAGCAAAATGTACTGCTGGGTGCTGACAGGGCCCCCGCACGTACAAATTTTGTGATTCGCTATGCGTCTTTAGTACAAAAATCTCAGTCATGTTGAACCAGGAATATAACGTTTTCGGCTTTGCATTTACAAGAACAGCTTGCGAAAAAATCTTTTTCTAAAATGCTCGAAACTTGCAAGCTATACATAGCTATATAGACAGTGGATATAAGCGCCCAGAATGTGCTATCAAATTACAGCTTGTATTCGGTTTCAAAGGGTTTTCTTTGCATAAACATCTTGAACTTGTGACAGGCTATGATCTCGAACAATAAGTCTCGTCTATCTGCACGATCAAAAAGGCCCGGTTTTTGTTTCAGTTGACGCGACCATCTGGTTAAAGGAACGCCGCATCGCCAAGTATAACTGGATCTTACTTTTACAGGACAAGGACGATTAAGGACGGCATAAACAACGCGTACGGGTGGATATTGGTTGGATGCCCACATCAGGTTGCCGGCACTTGCAAACGATCACATATTTCAAAGGTTAGTAAAGATTACAGAGCTAATTTGTAATAAATTTTAACCCTGTCCTCAAGGCCCCGTGGTATGCCTATAAAGCACAAATCAAGACCAATCTAATGCCCTTCGGCGATGCGCGACTTGCAGGACTTTTCAAAAAAGGACTATCGGACATTTTGATGTGAAATCGGCATTCTTTTGCATAAAAGGAACGTGGGTTGCATACTTGCATTACACCTTATCTTTGCGGATTAAATAGGGTAGAAAATCAGTTTTCAAACAGTTGCTGGTGCATGTATTGGTATTCTCACCATCGGTTGGCAAATCTAGATTTTACCGCTGCGAAAATTACATAATGAGGACATTATAAATTTATAATCTTCATTCTTTCCATGACAGTAAGTGCGCAAACTTCATTCGTGGATGAATTCGGACCAGCAAATCGGTCTCCATTTTCCAAGCATGCATGCTTTATCCCGATGCTTGTCACGCAACGAAAGCTTTCCGCAAACGCAATTCAAATTGCAGAAAGGGAAAAGATCTGTGTTCTTTCCTGGCTCGCGTGTCTTTTAAAAAAGCTTCTTTATACATTCTAGTTCACACAAGTGCGTCTAGTAAGCGAAGCTCCCCTTATATATAAACTACGTTTGTAGCTATTGTGTGGGCAGAATTTTTTAAATGGAATGCAAGAACAATATTGATCTAGCCCAACATGCAACTTGAATGAAAATCTGCTGCAGGCTGCATGAGCTAGCATGTTACATTATAATGAGACGCATCAAGCATCTTTCGCCTGTATAAATACAAGAAAGATTAAAGAAACTCGCTAGCTAAGCTTAGGTAGTCTATTATTGACGCAGATATATCTGTATTTGGTTTTGCGAAGTACGCTTTTAAAATACCATTGGATCGTGAAAAGTACTTGTCTGACTCGTCAGGTCTATGCGTTCTTGATTTCTCTACACTAAAATGAAAAATTTAAATAAGACAACATTGAACAAAATCAACAAGGAAAATATAAAATAAGAATGTTATTGTATGCTGTAAGAGAACTATATGATATCTTGGTTAAATTATAACCGATTAAATACCCTTTCAATAAATCAATGAAGGCTTTGAATAATATCTTCAAAACTAAAGGCGGTTATTTTAAGACATTTATTTATTACCCTCTATATGCCTTGTTTGAGTTTTATCACAACACTCATTGCTATAGAGCCGAACATTTCTTCTAGAATCGCTTCTAAATGTCTTTCGTTGATATTTTCTTTACCTATATTTTGAAATAATCGTGATACACTAAAGTTTTAATGCAATTGAATCGATATAGCTACCAGCGAGCTCATTTCGTCTTCGATTTCTCCTAGCGTGAAATTCGTTTCTTGTCTGAAATCAATCGTTCGAGGTGTAAAGTGAAACGCGATGTTTATTAACACGTCTTATACTGCTTTTAAATCCCAGCAGAGATGCGCTGTTTATATATTCAGGGCGTTAGGCCAAGCCAGGAAAACTATTTGTTTTAGTCAAATAGTATTTAATAGATCTATTGATATATGTCTCCAGTTTGTCTGCAGATTTACGTTTATAGCACAGAAAATATTGTTGACTTAAGAAAATCCTTCCTGCGTATTACACATACAGTAAAAGGATTACAATGTTGGATCGACTGAAGTTAGTTTCGTTTTAGATTTTTGAAATGGTAGCTTTGTGCATGCCTATGCGTAAAAACGATGGCATGCTTGGATTTCGGATCCCAAAGAGACACGATGAGAACCAAGTTGACACAATCATTTAATAAATAGCAATTTAAAAGATTGATCACCTAACAAATTTATAATTTCTCAGCCAGCCTTGCTTGTTAAGTTAATGCAAGATTTAAGTGTCTATCGACACACAGGTTTGACATATATAACTCAGCCATAAATTAGCATTGCTTGCGCGCATGCTGCAACGAGGCGCAAAGTTGAACACAGTTTTTTCGCATACAAAGATAATTCCCAAACACACGAGATTTGTCCGAATGCGGGGCGCCATTTTTTTTAATTTCCGAGGGTGAAAACCTTTTTCGAACAGCAGCTTTTCGGAGCCACGCCGAACAGACGTGTGTTAATTCACAACATCGCAAAATCAATAATCTAAAATTCAAATAATTTCCTTCGCTTTCAAAACTCTTCAAACTATATCGTTAGGATCTAGTAGCTATTCACTATTTACTCTATATATAAAGAAAAAATAAATCATCCAGCATAGAATCAACCTGCTTAATTGATTGTAGTTATGGTGATAAAAAAGTAAAGAATAATCAAGGATATTTGATAGAGTAGTCATTATTATTCAGGTAGACTGTTGTTGCATGAATGCATAATGCATTCCGAAAAACATTCGCCATCTTGAAACACGAAGACAAAAATGTTTTTGTGGTATTTCTTAAAATGGCCACATCATTTATCAGGTTTTATCAGTTAGCAATTCAATACTGGCTTTGTATTTTATTTTTTTTAATGTCGGTATGTGTTCGTTGGCCTTTTTTTTACTGTATACTTAACCGGTGGAATCACACAGATGCCACTGTTTATATAACTTTTAAGATCGACAATTGGAATCGATTACGGGATTCTGAGGATAGATAACGACTATCAAACAACTATGTCTGTGTTCTAGGATTGTGGTTGAGCGACATCCCGTTTAAAGACTTGCTCATATTTAAAAAAAATACCCGCATTGCAACGTTTTTTATCCTTGTATATATTTCGCACGCAAAACCAAAATTCCATAGGCGCCAATTATGAAGACTGTCATTATCAAGACATTATTAAAATTGAAATAAACGTTTGTTGAATTCTCACAAAAGCTGCAGTTGAGTGATGGTGTTTCGCACTCTCTCAGCTTGATATAATTATGTTCATGTGCATTGCCCCGTGTTGCCGCGTCATCTAGTGGCCTCTCTCTCTCTGAGATGAATCAGAATTTCTTCTGTGCCAGTGAATGTACTCGGCTTTCGGGTAAATATACCTGAGATACATCATCCAATGGATAATTTCGAAAGGACGAGACCTATGCAGAACGTGAAAACGGTCACGGATATAGGTTTTAGTTTCGATGGAAACATCTGCACTAAGGCTGTTCGGAAATCGGGTCAAAGTGGAAATCATCCTGAAAAAAACGATCCAAATTTTCCGGTCGAATTTTCCTCCTGATCGTGCTGCAAGATAGGAGCCATTTGGAGTTCATAACCTCACAATATTTACAGAACAACATCAACTTTTTAATCGCTTTCCCATATGCTATAACTCTTCCTAGGGATTCTTGGATACCTTCCAGAAATCCCAGATATATTCCCGGCTCGACAGGAAATTTTATGACTTGCAGGTAACGCAATCGGTTATGAAATCGAATGCGCGTCTTAATTGATTCAATAAAGAGCGCGCACGTATATCGCGACTTGCGGTGATGTTTTTCTGTCAAAATTTAAGCAAAGCGTAACATTAGCTGAATACCTCAATCGCGCTGCAGGAAAAATAGAGAAGAAAATACAAGCTCAATCGAGAATTCGATAATATATAACCCTTAGCCCTTAGGGGCGTAACGTGAAGCTAAGAATTTGGGAAGTTGGTATTGGCGCTGTACCTTTGCCCCGAAAAAATTCATAATTAATGAAAATATACGTGCATACTCTATGAAACTGTTGTGAGCAAAAGTTTCATATATTTCATATTCATAAACAGCTTATATCTGAACACATGTTTGTAGCCTGTAGGAGCATTATCACGCGTGTATTATATATACCTAAGATGATATAAATCAAAACATAAGATGTGATTTACAGGTAACTATGATGGCGCATGTAAACAGCTTTATATAAGCACAACTGCACAAGGCAACTGAGGCTGTTTCTGGCATGCTCCGTTCAGAATATAAAAAATAAGACAGTTAATCAGACTGCATATTAGAAACCAGTGAAAGTGTCTGTAAAATACTGTCCGTTGATAATTTCAAAGTGGATTCTTTTCTGTATAGGTAAATATTCTTCTGAATAAGATAGGCGAATAATTAGAATGAAAATTAATTGTTGGCTGGGATCCCTAAAGGGTAGGATGGACTCGAAAGAAAAACAATCAACAGAATGTTAAATTTGCTTCGCATTAAGATGCATGCATCTATACAAGACGACTAGACATCGACCGTGCCAAAAGATAAGAATCGATTCGCAGCGGTCAATATACATATTTTCATATCAAGGAAATCGTTATTTCAGAGATGTCTCGCGTGGCCAGGATTTGTCGAACGCGGGTATTGTTGTTATATACCCCTTTGTTGCATGGTAAAAATATTATGCTTGCCTTATATAACCAGTTGATAAGAATTCGTTCACCCCATTCCGACGGTGGGCTTTCTTCGAACCATTTTTGATACGATATGCATGGATCGCGTGGATGGTGATGGATCAATTTCGTTCATAGGGCAATAATGTTGCAAACTGATTAAAAAAACAGGCCGCAATAATTCGTCTTCAGACTTAAAGAACTTAATATCCTAATATCCTAATATTATCCTAATATCACACGTCTGACACAAGACCATATATAATTTCAGGTGAAACGTGTCTGTATTCTTCAACACAGCATTTGATCGCAATGCTTTGAAAATCATATTATACACTACAGAGATTTGTTCTTTCTTCAGTCAATATTTCCAAAGCGAATCGAAAGAATGCAGTATGCATGAATTTGCGCACGAAATGGCCACCATGCAGATAGAATATGAAGCAGATTTTTGTCAAAATCCATAAAACCTGGGAAGTATTCCAGTTTAAAAAATAGGCATGATGATAACGTGTTGATGTATTTTATCTTTGCTAGACAGTTCGAAATGACTTCAGCAGAGGCTATAATAGATTTAGCTATAAGAATCACTTACTTAACACAAAGACAAAGTACTTCCTAAGCAGGGCTTATACTTACTCTAAAAGCGCGCCCACTCCGTGAGCAGGTCGAAAAAAATTGGCCAACTTGGCAATCAAATTA